CGCTCCCTTAGAGATAGGGAGAGGAGCTCAGTCACATGAGAGGAGCTCGGAGTAGAGCCGCTGCTTCTCCACGTCGTTAGTTGCAGTTGTTCAGGCATCTGTTTGGGATGGTATGGCGTGGGAACCCTTCAGTTGTGGCTCAGTTGGTAGAGCATTGGCCTTTGAGCCTGAAGGTTGTGGGTTCGAGCCCACCGCAAGAGCTTCTCCACCGACTCCCACTGATGGCTGTTGTTGTGTCCTTGGGCCAGACACTTGACCCACTTTGCCAGCGAGGAAGTCATGTTCTCTGCATGCCTTGATGCGTGTATGTGTATTCAACAAACTGAAATTTCCCCACTGTGGGACGAATAAAAGACCTTCTTCTTAAATGAACTGGGGTAAGTGGATAGGGAGGACTCAGCTCGGACTGGATAAAGCAGAAGAAAATGGATGAATGTAAAGAATCTTTTTTTTTTGTTGATCATAAAAGATCATTTGGATTGCTTAGTTAATGTAACATGACTGTTCTGTATCGTTCACAGTGTTTTACGTTCTCCCAAGATTTGTCTGTGTCATTAGAACAAAATATCAGGATTATTTTTTCTATGCAGAAAGTAAATTGTCTCTGCTTTCAAATGTGCGGCTCTCCCTGTGAAATGAATGTTTAATGACTTATATATTGCATCTAACAAGTGCGAGACTTCTTTCAAGTGGAAGCTAAAAGGAACGATCTCATTTCAACAGTTTTGTGTCCCTGCTGCGAAAGTTGCGGCGAACCTGCTGAAGTTGTGATGAATTGTACAAACATTAGTCTTTCTTCTCTTATCTATCATCCTAAAGCCTTATGAAGCCAAAGCCCTGTTTTAACACTGTGCAGTTTTCATGCACCGCCTCCTAAGGGGATGAGACAACAGATTTAGGGGCTAAGTTTAGAGGTTATGCATACTGCACTACAAGTTCATTATTCTGAGGCCGAAACATAATCATTGGATCATTTGTAGTCATTACCTTAACTGCAGCTGTCAAAATGACTGTCTCAGCATAATGCATAAACATAATGTACATATAACCTGTAAAAACAGACAATTAGTAACGATTATGTTTTCATACCGACCACAAGTTCTTGCAGAATAAATAAAGAACAAAAACACAATTGGAGTTATAGTGATTTGAGGAGGGTCTTTTTCCTATTTTCAATTCCTCCAAAACACCAAGATCAATATTGGGCATGAAATATCAGCATCGATTCATTAATGTCTGAAATCAAAGATGTACATTTACAGTAAATTCCTAAATAAAGGAAAAGCACATTATCACCACCACTGCAGAATGAAGTGAGTGACTTCTCGCCTCCTCTTTAAGATCCTGAGCTCATTTTGAACTCCAGCTTTCAGTCAGAGTTGAAGATAAAATATAAAAGACGATTCCAGACACAAGTGCTCCCAGTCTGCTGATTCAGACAGTAAAAATATCTTTCTGATAGCACCCCGCACCTTTTCCGCTGAACCTCTCGCTGCACACACCCCTGGAGGATTTGACTGTTGTAAGCGTTTTAAGGTTAAACAGACAGAGCTGCGACGCTCTTGCACATGCATGTGTCATTCTGTCAATTTGTGAAAAGGTGCTAATCCACGTGCCTCCACCGTGGCGCTGAGGAGCCGAAGCCGGGTGTGATGGAAAGGTTTGTCGGTTCATTTTAAGTGAATAGCCTTTTGGTGACTGCTCATTTGACATATCAGGACAGTCTGATTAAATGGGGGTGGGAAGGGATCACAGAACAATATGCAGAATAAAGGTCAGAAATAATGTTGGAATGGTAAAATGTGATGCCTTGTGTATATGTTTTACAGTAAACAGAAAACACTGGATATAAGTCCAGTCATGTTCCCCTCTCCTCTTTTTTAAATATTGTGGTTACCAAATAAATACATTTTAGTTCCATACTAAACTGAAGTGCTGTGGTAGAAGAATATAGCAAACAGGCATTGCAAATGTAGGCTGGTATCCACAGGAAAAGCTTTCAAGCTCTGAATTTCAAACATGGATTTTTCACCTCCATTGATGTCAGGTAGTTTTGTCGTTATGTTTTTCTTTCATTATGCTTTGACAGTATCAAGGGAACATACACAATGGTCTCCTATTGGTTTTGTCCAGAGAAATAGACTTGGAAATGTCTTGTTGTTCCAATCCAAGGTCTGGCCTCTGTCCTTCTCTCTGTACCTAGGAGCCTGTCCCATTACAATAGTGCACCTTCAATAGACAAAGCATTATTTCATCTTGCTTTCTGCTTTCTCCCACTGACAGATGGGACCTGGTTAAAAGGGAAAAAAAAAACCTTCAAGACAAAGAAATTACTCGCTTTCACATAGATCCAGAGTATAGCTAGACACCAGGGATGTGTTGGCAAGAGGCAAGGGCTACAGAGCGTTTGGTTGGGGTATCATTTTCATTGTTTTGAAGGGAAAAATATAACGCCACAGTGGTGGAAAGCTCTGAAAATAATAGAAAACCGTCTTGACACATTGTTTGTATTGTTTTACCCAGCACGAGACACCTGAAAATAAACAGTGGTGACACACACACACACACACACACGCACCAAGTCTTCCTCCTATTATTACCCAATATACATATGCACACACACCTCTGCAAGCGGGCGATAACTGCTTAGCTGCGTATGCTTCGGCAATTGTCAGACTGCCAGGGCGAAGACAGAGCCAGGGAGACAAAGGAGGGGAAGGGGAGGGAGCAGGCGCTGAGTGGCACTGCAGACTGGATACATGCGGAATTAGACAGGTGCCGTGGGGAGAGCTGGGCACAATGAGGCGAAAGGTATATGCAGGTTAAAGAATGTAAAGGTGGCGAGTGTGATAAAAGGCGAGAGGGGTCCACGCGCAGACAGACCTCATTGGCTTAAAGGTGCATTGCTCAACTTTTCTGCCCGTTTTTTTGCCATTGAGATTGAAAAAGAGTGATAAAAGAGGCAGAGTTCTGGGATTGTGTCTCAGTAGAAGACATGTTGTTTTGTTCTTTTAGCAGAAAGTGCATTAGACTTTTCCAAAAAAATACTGATTATGTTATGTTTAAGATTTTGCTAATTATTATCCAAATTTCATCCAAGTTTGACCATAGTTTTAGATTAATTTTTTTCTTCATGGTTGTGATAGATGACATTACATTAAGGATGTTACTATTGAGTTATTCAAGACTTGGAAACATTGAAGTTCCAACTTCCCACTCGGAAAAACGGGAATGAATGCCACACAACTCAGATATTTAACTCAGAAACTCTGAGTATGTGACCTTGTGACAAGTGTCAGTTTTTAATTGGATGATAGAATAAAGACAAAGCAAGAGGGTTTGTTTTACTTCACAAAATAAACATATTTAAGTTCTGTTTTCTCTCTTGGTCCTCTCTCAGGTCCCTCAGGCGGCACGGTGGCTGAGTGGATAGCACTCTTGCCTCTCAGCAAGAAGGTCCTGGGTTCGAATCCCGGTCGGACCAGGGCCTTTCTGAGTGGAGTTTGCATGTTCTCCCCGTGTCTGCGTAGGTTTCCTCCGGGTACTCCGGTTTCCCCTACCACTAAAAATATGTCCAATAGTTCTAGCTTGCGCCTCCTGTACCGGCGACCCCGCTCCCATCTCTGTGTGGAGTGAGAGATAAATGCCCATAATTAACAATTGTAAACCGCTTTGAGACTCTGATCTGCAGTGAAAAGGCGGTAGTAGATAGTATAGACGGCGGTAGAGAGCAAGTGGTGAAAAGGTGGTACTGCACCCTAAAATCCCCAGAAAAGAGACGGCGCTCTTGAGCAAGTGGTGAAAGGTGTTACTGCACATTGTTTTTCAAAGAGTTTCAATGAGTTAGCTTCTGTTGGCCTGTGTGTGTGTGATAATGTTTCACAGTTGTCTAAAGTGATTTATGATCACGGTGTATTCTAAAACAAGCAGTTATGTCAATAAACTAATTAATCTACAGGTCCTCCCTGTTAACGACACGTGTGTTTGTCTGATAGTGATGAGCGGTTGGGAGGGCGTACTAGCAACAAATCAGAATAGGTGGGAGGTCTATTACAAGTTTTTCAATGGTTCAAACGCATTACGGCTGTCTAAGAGTGTTTTTCATTGCTGATGCAGGATGGGTTTGTTACACAGTTATTGAGAAACTAGAAGGACTGTGGTGATGAGCCAGGACACTTTTAATATTCTACAACATGTAGTGGTCTATAGTCTTTATGTGTTTTAACTGCTGATTCTCCGATCTGTGTTGGTGATTTTCAGTAGTTTTTGGTAAGTCCTCTGAGATGACTACAGTTGTGATTTAGGGCTATACAAGACTAAATTGTATTGTATTGTATAGGTGTTTTTTTTTTTTTTCTGTAACAAGAGGTACTGCATCCAAACTCTGAAAGAGCGACACTTAGGTGTGTGTGTGTGTGTGTGTGTGTGTGTATGTGTGATTACCTTATCATGTGGACCAGAGTGTTGCACCTAAAACAATAGTTGTTATTTTCCAACTGGTACACCAGTATGAACGATCCGTGTGAAACTCACCTGATGACAAAGGTTCCGTGGAGCAAAAACACATATATTTTTAGTCGCGTTTATCAATCGTAATTAATGCGTTATAATCCTAACCCTATTCATAAGGTAGTAGTCTCTATATCAATTTAATTGTCCAATACAATAAAAATAAGAACCCTATATACATATATGTACACAGTTTGAAACAGAGTAGGTAGATGTGAAACTAGGGTCCTTGGTACAGGTTTTCTTTTACACGAGATCAAATGATTTAAAGGCGTACATCTCTCAGATATACAATTGACACTTGTTACCATAAATAGTCATCTTAAAGACTGATTAAACAACCATATTACATACCTTAAACATTATGTGGGAGGGTGTGGGGGGTTGTTGGGGGTGGTTATTATGGGGTAGGTATATTTAATGTTGTTTATGGTGGATTATGGGTGAATTTTATATTAATGGTTGTTTTGAATTGGAGGTGGTGTTATAAGATGTGGGTGGTGTGTGTGGGGGGGGGAGGTTTTAAGGTGGTGTGGGGTAGAGGGTTGGAGGTGTGTGAAGAATATTAAGGAGGAAATGTAGGGGTGAGTTGATGGGGGTGTTTGGTGATGGTATTGGGTGAAGGAGGGGGGGAATTTGGAGAGTTGGGGGGATTGGGTAAGTGTATTGGTAGTTTGTGTGTTGAATAGTGTTATGTGTGGGGTTTATAATTGATAGATTATATGGTGGGTGGTTGAGAGGTGTGATTGGACATGAGGGAGAGAGTTTGGTTAGTTTGAGGGGGTAATGGGAGAATTTGGGTTTGATATGTGGTGGATTGTTATGGAGTGTGGAGTTGGATGGTTTAGTGAAGGGGGGAGTTGGGGTAGAAGTTGGGGGGGATTGTAAGTGTATTGGGTGTTTTTGTGTTTTGAAAAGTTTTATTAATGTTACTAATTATAGATTTATTGGGGTGGTTTATAGTTTTAGGTTAATGTGAGAGGTGGTGGTTTTTGTTAGTGTGTAGGGGTTTTATGGGAGAATTGGTTATATGTGTGTGGTAGGGTGTTGATGGGGTTGTATTTGGGATGTTGAGGGGGGGGGGTTTGGGTTTTATAATTGTGGAGTTGGGGAAGGTGTATGGAGGGTGTGGGTATTATGATTGAGATTATGTTGGTAGAAAATTTTTGGGGGGAGGGGGTTAATGTGGATTGGAAAAAGAGTGAGGTGATTTAATAGTGGGTTGTGGGGAAGTATAGGGTTGTGATGGGTGATGGGGGGAGGGGGGTTGATTTGATGGGTTAATAATTGGGGTGGGGTATTGGAGGGGGGTTGGTAGGGGGTGTTAGAGATTATGGGGGGGAATATTATTTTGTTGAAGGATAATATTTGTTTGTGGGTTGTTGGAATGGGGTTATTGGGGTTTTGTAAGTTTGGATTGATGGGTTTTGGGTTTTTTGAGAGAGATTATTATTATTTAGTTGTGGTTTTGTTGTGTGTGGGGTTTAGGTGTTTGTGGTTGGTGAAGTTTAGGTTTATGTAAAGTGTGGTAGTTGTTGAGGTGGGAGGGAAATTGAGGGTGGGGGGTTTTTTTGGGGTTGGTGATTTTTGGTTGTTATTTGTTAGGGATTTGTTTTTGAGGGGAGGGATTTGTTAGGGAGAGTTTATTTGGTTTTTTGTGGTAGGGGTGTTGATTGAGTTTTTTTTGTGTTTGTGGTGAGTGTTTAGTTAGGTTGGGTTTTTTTTTTTTAATTATGGGGGGTGATGATAGGGGTGTGATGGGGTTTTGAAGATGTATAGGGTAGTTGTTTTGGTAATTTGATAGGGGGGTTTAGGAATTAATAGATGATGTGAGTAAGTTGTTGTATTGGTTGTAATAAGAGTAAGTGGGGTTATGGGGTTTTAGGGTTTTATAGGAGTGTAGGGTGGGGTATGTTTTTTATTTTTTTGTGTGAGTTGGAATATTGAAGGGGGGGTGGGGAGGGGGGTTTTGGGGGTGGGTGGGGAGGTGTAGTGGTTATGTAGGTTGTTGGGTTGGAATATATGGTATGTTTATGAGTATTTTATAAGAGAATGATGTAGTAATGTTGTTAGTGGTTGTGGTGTAATAAGATTATTGGGGGGGTATGGGGGGTTATTAGGGGTTATATAAGTGTGGGTTTTTTTTGTATAATTTTTTTGTGTATGTGATGATTGAATGGGGTGAGGGGGGGTTTTGGTTGGGTGTGGTGTGTATGGTGAAGTATGGGTGTTTTTGGAGTTTATAGTATTAGGTATTTTTTTATTTGAGGTATGGAGGTTAGGTGTGAGGTTGTTTTTAGGTGGATTTAGTTTGAATGTTTTGGTAGAGTGTTGTTTGGTAGGTTATTGGGTTTGGTTGTGATTTGTTTTTTTGATGGGGGTGGGGTGTTATATTTAGTTGTGAATTGTTTGTGTTGGGGTATGTTTTTTTGAGGGTGGGGGTTGGTTGGGGGGGGGGGGTTTTGAGGGGATATGTTGGGGTTGGTAGGGGGGGGTTTGGGTATGTTGGGGTTGTGGTTGGGGGGGGTTTGATGAGGTTGGGTAGTGTGGTGTTAGTGGATTGGGGGAATGTTTGGGTAGAAGGGGTTTGATGGTGAAGGTTTTGTGTAGGTAATTGTAAAGTGGGGATATGAGTAAGTAGGGGGGATTTAGGGTATGGGGGTGGGTGGAGGTGGGGTGTGGGGGTATTGGTGGGGGGTGTGTTTAGTATAAGTGTGTGTTGGTGTGTATGGTTGGTTTGGGTTTAAGTAGTTTTTTGTGGGGGGGGGGAGAATATTATGGGATGATGTGGGGATATATGAGGGATGTTAGGGTAATGGTTTTGTTAGTAGTGGGTGGATTATTATGAGGAATTTTGTGGTTGATATTATGTATATATATATATATATATATATAAGTGGGAAAGAGGGATGTGGGGGTGGATGGTAAAGGGGGTATTTTTTTTGTTTTTTGATAAGTGTATTGTATTGTATGGTGAAGGGTGTAAAGTTTGATTATTAGTGATGAGATTGGTAGGTAATTTTAGTATTTTGATAATTATATGGGATTTTGATATGGTTTTAATTGTTTTAGTGTTAATAGTATGGAGGGTTGTGTTTTGGAAGAGATGATAATATAAGGAGTGGGAGAATTGTGAGGGTTATTTAATGATATGATATGGTTTTTAGATGTGTTTTTTTTTTTTTGGGGGTTGAGGTGGGTAGGGAGGGGGGGGTGTTTTTTGGTTGAGTGGGGGTTGATTGGAAGTGTTGTTAAGAATGTTTATTGATTAAGTATATTTAAAGAAGATGAGTTGTAAGGAATTGGAATGAAGTAATAAATGGAGAGGGGAGTGTAAAAGAATTAAGAATGATAGTGATTATATATATAGGAGGTTATTTTAGGTTGTGGTGGGGTGGTAGTTAGAGGTGGGTTTGTATAAGTGATGTTTTATAGGAGTTATTAGGGGTTTATGTGATATATATAATAAATTATTTAGTTAGAGGGTTTTATGTTGGATGTTATTAAGGGATAATAGGAAGCTTTAAAGGAAGAGGGAAGTGGGGTGGGATTGGTATTAAGGGATGAATAGAGAGAGTAAAAATGATATGAGTAGAGAAGGAAAGAGGATTAGGGAGGAAAGGGAGTGATGGTGATTATTTATGAAGGATATGAGATGATTTTAATGTAATTAGAGGGTTGTGCGGATAGGATAGTGGAGAGGGAAAGTTGAGGTGGAAAATGGAGTGTTAAGTAGATAAGGGGATTGGTGATTGGGGTATTTGGGTATTGGAAAGGTGGGGTAGGAATATAGGGAAAAGTAGGGGGATATAGTGTATATATGATAATTGAGAAGGGTTTTAATTGGTATTAATATGTAGAATAAGGGGTGGTAATGAGGGTCTTGGATTGGTGGGAATAGGAAAATTGAGTGGGGTGGGGGGGTTGTTTAAGGGGGAGAGAGGGGGTAGGGATTGGAAGATTTAATTTGGTTTTTATAGAGGTGTCTAGGGGAGTTGGTAGGGAGTAATGTGTGATAAGGATTGTGGGAGATTGAGGAATAGAAGGGAAGTATTGGAGGTTATGGGGGGGTTTGGAAGATGGAGAGGGATTGTTTATTTTGTGATGTTTGGGTAGGGAAGTGGTTAGTGTAGGAATTTTAGGGGAAAGGAATGGGGAAATGGGTTGAGGGATGTAGAATAGGAGAGGTTAGGTGGGGTGAGAGTAGAGGGATTTAGGGGGTTAGTTTGTTGAGGGAAAAAGGTTGGTATGTAGTGGGGGGTGGGGGGAGTGGGATGAGAGGAAGGGGGAGAGGAGGAGGATGTTTGGTGATTTGGTAAAGGAATGTGGAAGTGTAAGGGGATGAATAAGGAAGGGGGAAGTTTGTTTGAGGGAGGGTATTGGGGGTGTTTTTGGGATTAGGGGTGGGGTGGGTTTTAATGAATGTTGAAATTTTGAGGGGTTTATGAAAGTTGGTGTTTTTTGGGGGGGGAAGGAATAGTGGATGTGTGTGGGATAATTATGATATTGGGGGGTTGTGGGTGGGGATGAGAAGAGATAGTATTATTAGTGTTTTTGTGTTTTGAGGATATGAAATGTTTTTTATGAGGATGGGGGAGAAATTGTTGTTGTAATTGTGGGGATGGATTTAAAAAAGGGTGAAGGTTGTAGGTTTTATTGGGAAGTGGAGGGGGTTAAGAAATGTTTTTGGGTATGGGGAGGTGAATTAGGGGGTATTTGTTTTGGGTGTTTTTTTTAGTTGGGAGGTTTATGGGTGTTGAGGGTGGTAATGGGGGTAATTTGGGTGAAGAAAGATTATATTTGTTTGTTGTAATTATTGTTTTAAAAAGATGAGGGAAATTGGTGGGATATGGTGGGAAGTATTGGGTTTTTGTTGCTGTGTATTTAATTGGTTATTTAATGGAGTAATAGTTTGGATAGGTGGTTTTTAAAAGGGGGGATTTGAGGTGTTATATAGATAGGGGTGGTTGGGTGGGTGTGAATTTGAGAATGTGGATAAGTTTGGGGTTTTGGTTTTTTGTATGAGTGATGGTTTTTTGATGTGGAAGTTGGGTTTAAGGTTGTGATGGAGTGAGGTTGAAGGGTGGAGGAAAGTTAGGTTTAATGTTAATGTGGATGTGGTTATTTGTTGGTTATTGTTTGTATTAAGGAAGTGTAATTTGGTTGTTGTTTTTGTGGGGGGTTGGGGGGAGTTAGGGGGGTGTAGGTTGGTGGGGGTTGGTAGGGTTAAAATGATGGTTTTGGGAATTGGATTGTAAGAAGTGAAAGTGTTTTTTTGAAGGAGTATAAGGGTTATGGAGATTGATGGGTTTTGTTTAGGAATATTTTTTGTGAGTGGTGGTGTGGTGTTTAGGTGGTGGGTGGTTGTGGATTTTAATGTTGAAGGAGGAATGAAATATAAGTTTTTTTTGGTTATTGATTGGTTGTGGTTGTGAAGGTGTGTTGATTGGGGTTTTGGTAGAAAATTTTTGTATTTTTTGTTTGGGAGAGTGTGATTGGGTGTGGTTGATAGGGGGGGATTTGGGGGTAGGTGGATGGGGGGGTGTTGAGGTTGGGTGGGTGGGGGGGTGTGTGGGTGGTTTGTTGAGGGTGAGTGTTGAGTTGGGTTGTGTTTGATGATAGGGTATTTATTGGGATAGTGTGTTAGGTTTGTTTTGGTGAGTGGGGTTGGTTTTTTGTGGTAGGGGGTGGGGGGGGGTTGGGGTGGTTAGTGTGGATGGGGGGTTTGGGTTTGTTAGGGGGGAGGTTATTTGTAGATTGATGTAGATGATTTTGTGAGTTAGGGGGGGGGGGGTATTGTGTTGGGGGAGGATTAGTGGGGGGGGTATATGTTGGTTTTAGTTTGTAGGGGGTGTATATTGTATAGGGGTGTGAGTTTATGGTGGTGTTGTGAATGGTGGGGGGTTAGAGGTGGTAGAAGTGTGGGGGTGGGGATGGGGGGGGTTGAAGTGTGTGGTAGTATGGGGTGGTGGAGTGATTGTAGTTTGGGGTGGGGTGGTTGGGGGGGGGTGGGGGGAGGTTATTTGGTAGGATAATTAGAGGTTTGTGAGTATAGGTGGGGGGGGGGGGGGGGGGGGGGGTGGGGTGGTAAGGTGATGTTAATTGGGGGGATAGTTTTATTGTGGGGGGGTGGGGAATTAGGGTATAAATGTTGTAGTGAAGGGTTTAGATAAGGTGGTATTTGGGAAGTATTTTTATATGGGTGGGGGGTGAGGGTGATGATGGGTTGGAGGTGTTGTAGTTAAAGTGATGTGGGGTGTGAAGAGTGTGATGGGTTGGGAATGTATTGTGTTTTGTTTTAAGGTTGTTTGGTGTTTTTTTTGTGTATGTGTGGGTATATGGGTTTATGTGGTGTTGGTTGAGTGGGAAGGGTATGGAGGGTATATTATTGTGGTTTGGAGGTATAGAGATTGTTATTGTATAGGGGAATGTTTGTGATGAGGTTTTGGTGGTTTATTAATGTGGTATTAAGGTTTATGGTGGGTATTATGGGGTAAGTTTATATTTATGTTGGTTTAGGTGGGAGTATGGGGTAAATTTTATATTTAATGGTGGTTTTGAATTGGGAGGTGGTGTTATAGAGATGTGGGGGGGGTGGGTGGTGTGTTGTGGGGGGGGGGGGGAGGTTTTTAATGGTGGGGGTGGGGGTAGTAGGGTTGGGAGGGGGGTTGGGTTGGTAGGGAATGGAATGGAGGAAAGGGTAGGGTGGAGTGGAGTGGGGTGGTTGTTGATGGTTGGGTGATAGGGGGGGGGGGTGGGGGGATTGGGTGATAGTGGGTGGGGGGGGAGGGTATGGTGTATTTGGGTTTTGTTGGAATAGTGTTTGTTTGGGTGAGTTTATAGTGGTGTTTTGGTGTGTGGTGTGTGTGTGGGGTTGGTGGGTGGGGGGGTGGGTTGGGGGTTTGGGTGATTTGGGGGTTGTATGGGGTGGTGGGTTTTGGGTGGGGGTTGTGTTGGGGGGGGTGGTGGGAGGTGGGGGGGTGTGGGGGGTGGGGTTGGGGGTTGGGGGGGGGTGGGGGGGTTGGGGGGGGGGGGGGGGGGGGGGGGGGGGGGGGGGGGGGGGGGGGGGGGGGGGGGGGGGGGGGGGGGGGGGGGGGGGGGGGGGGGGGGGGGGGGGGGGGGGGGGGGGGGGGGGGGGGGGGGGGGGGGGGGGGGGGGGGGGGGGGGGGGGGGGGGGGGGGAGTGTTATGTTTGGGGTTTTTTGGTCGTTGGGTGTTGGGGGTGGGGAGTGGTGGGGTGGGGGTGTGGGGTGGTGGGGGTGGGGGTTGGGTGGTGGGTGTTGGTGGGGTGGTGGGGTGTGGTTGGGGGGGTGGGGTGGGGGGTGGGGGGGGGGGGGATTTGTGGTGAGGGGGGGGGTTTGGGGTATTGGGGGTAGGGGGTGGTGGGTGTGTTGGTTGATGGTGGGGGGTAGTTTTTTTTTGGGGGGAAGGTTTTGGGTGTGGTTTTTGTGGGTGGGTGGGTGAGGGGGGGGGGGTGGGTGTGGGGTGGTGGGGGGTTGGGGGTGGGGGTGTGGTTGGGGGTTTTGGGGGGGGTGTGGGGTGGGGGGGGGGTGGGGGGTGGGTTTTGGGGGGGGGGGTGGGGTTGTGGTGGGGGGGTGGTGTTGTGGGGGGGGGGGGGGGGTGGGGATTGGGGTTGTTGGGGTATTTGTTGGGTTGGGTGTTGTGTGTGTATTGTGTATGTGTTTGTTTTGTGGTTTGTGGGGTGTGGGGTTTGTGGTTGGTGTGGGGTTAGGGGTTTTGGATTTTGTGTGGGTTGTGGTGGGGGTGTGTGTTGGGGGGGGTTGGGGGGGGGGGTGGGGGTGGGTGGGTTGGGGTGGTGGGGGGGGGTGTGGGGTGGGTGGTTGGGATTATTGGGTGTTGGGGGTGTTGGTGGGTGTGGGGATTGGTGGTGTGGGGGGTGGTTTTGTTATTTTGGTTTGGGTTTGGGGGTTTGTTTATATGGGGTGATGATGAGGGGGGGGGGAGGGTGGGTGTGTAGTGGATAGGTATGTGGGGGTGGGTTTTTTGGTGAGGGGGGGTTAGAGGGTAATTGATTGAGGATGGGTTAAGGTGGGTGGTATGGTGGTGTTTTGTTGTTATGTGGGGGGGAATGGGGGGTTTGTTAGGGGTTGAGGGTGTGTGGTGGGGTATGTGTATTTTTTTGTTTGTGTGATGGATGAGTTGTAGGGGGGTGAGGGGTTTTGGGGGGGGGGGGGGTGGGTATGGGTTGATGTATGGGGTGTTGGTGGGAGTTTTTGGTAGTTTTTGAGTTATTTGATTAGAGATATGGGTGGAAGTTTGTAGTTTGGGTGGTGGAAGAAGATAAAGTGGGGGGGTTATGGGGTTATTGTTATATATAAGGTGGGTTTTTTTTAATTTGTTTGGTGGGATTGATGATTTTAGGGGGAGGGGTTTTGGTTGGTGTTGGGGTTGGGGGTTGTAGAGGGGTGTTGGTTGGGGGGTTGGAGGAGTGTGGGGTGGGGGTGGTGTTGTGGGTGGGGTGGGAGGGGGTTTTGTTGGGTGTTGTTAGGGGGATGTGTAGGGATGTTGTGTGGTTATGAGTTGGGGTTGAGTAGGTTATTTTATGGTGTGGGTTTTGTTTTTGATGGGGGGGTTGGTATTATTTTGTAGTTTATGGTTGGGTTGGTATGTTGTTTTTGAGTGGGGGGGTGGGGGGGGGGGGTTTTGGGATATGTTGGGGGTGGTAGGGGGGGGGGTGTTTTGGGGGTATGTGGGTGGGTTGGTTTTGGGGGGGGTTTGTTGAGGTTGTGTATGGGGTTATGTGTGGGTGTGAGTGGGTAAAGGGGAGGAGGGGTGAGAGTTTTTTTAAGGTAATTTTATGGGAGATGTGTTAGTTGTGGGGATTTGGGGTATGTGTGGGTGTGGAGGTGGGGTTGGGTGGTATTTGTTTGGTGGTGTAGTAGTAAGTGGTTGTGGTGGTGGTGTAATGGTTGGTAGTGGTGTTTTAGTGTTGTATTTGTGTGGGGGGTGAATTGAGTTTAGGGGGATGATGGTGGATATATGAGTAGTAGGGGTAATGGGTTTTGTTATTTAGTGGGGGGTGGATTAAGAGGGAAGATATGGTTTGGTTGATATATGTATATAGATTATATATAAATATATAAGTTGGGGAGAAGGGATGTGGGGTGGATGGTAAGAGGGGGTATTTTTTTTGTTTTTTTATAAGTGTATTGTATTGTATTGGGTGAGGGTGTAAAGTTTGATATTAGTTGATGAGATGTGGTAGTAATATTTAGTAGGTTTGATAATTATATTATGTTGATATGGTTTTATATGTATGTAGTGTTAATAGTATGGGAGTTTTGTTTTGGAAGGAATGATTAATATGAAGGAGTGGGGGAGGATTTTAGGGGGTGATTTATGAATGGATGAGTTGTTTGTAAGAATGTGTTTTTTTTTTTTTTTTGGGTTGAGGGTGTGTATGGGAGGGGGGGGTTTTTTTTGGTGAGGTGGGGTTGATAGGAAGTGTGTGAAGAAGGTTTATTATTAAGTGATATTTAAAGAAGATGAGTTGTGAAAAGAGATGAATGAATAATAAATGGAGTGGGAGTGTAAAAGAAATTAAGAGATGATGTATGATTATATATATATCTTTATTTTTATATAGGAAGTTATGGGTGGTAAGGGTGTGTTGGTGGGGTTGTAAGTTAGAGGGGGGTTTGATAGAGTGATGTTTTATAGGGTTGATTAGGTTGTGGATGGTGAGATATTTATATATGGAATATGTTGGAGATAAGGGTTTTTATTTGGGATGTTATTAAGGAATAATAGGGAGATTTGAGAAGAAGAGGGGAGGTGGGTGGGGGGATGTAAGTAAAGGGGATAATAGAGGGAGAAGTAAGAAGGAGTGTAGTGAGTAGAGAAGGAAAAGAGGATAGGGGGAGGGAGAAAGAAGTGAAGGGGGGTTGATGTATTGTGATGAAGGAGATGGAGATGATTTGTAATAGTGGGGTTGTGATGAATAGGATAGTGGGAGAGAAAGGTTGGAGGGGGGAAAAGATGGATGTTGAAGAGTTGGGGGTGTAGGGGGTGTGGTTGGTAATGGGGGGATGGATATGTGGGATTTGTTGGGGTTTGAGGTATATGTAGAAGTTGAGGATGGTTTAATTGTTTTTAGGAGATGAATGGGGGGTGGTTAGGGTATATTGGGGGAATAGGGAAAATGGAGTGGGTGGGGGTGTTTAAGGGTGAGAGGGGGTAGGTTTGGAATTGGATTTGGGTGGTATAAGGTTATTGGGGGATGTGGGGGAGGGTGTAATTGTGAGAAGGAGGTGGGAGATTGAAGAAAAAGAGGAAGGAAGTATGGAGTTATGGGGGGGTTGTGATTTGGGGAGGTGTTTTAGTGTGGTGATTTTTGGTTGGGGAAGTGTTATGGAGGAATGTAGGGAAATGGAATGTGGTAATGGGTGGGGATATAGAGGAGGTGTGGATTGGGGTGTGTTAGGTGGGTTTTTGGGGAGGTTTGGGGAGGAATAAAAGTTGGGTTTTGTAGTGGTGGGGTGGAGGATGAGTGGTTAGGGGAAGGGAGGGAGTGTTGGGGGGGGAATTTGGTAAAGGAATTGTGGGAAGTGTAAGGGGATGATATAGGAAAAGGGGGAGTTGATGAGTGAGGTATTGGGGTGTTTTGTGGATTAGGGGGTGGTGTTTAATAATTTGAAGTTTTGAGGGGGATGAGAAGTTGTGGTTGGGGGGGGGGTATGGGAATTGTGATGGGTGTGGTGGATAAATTAGATGTTGGGGTGTGGGTGGATGTGTGAGATATATGATGATTAGGGGGGTTTTGTTTGTTGAGATATGAATTGTGGTTAAAGGATGGGGAGAAGTGTGGTTGTAAGTTGGGATTATTTAAATAAGGGTGAAGGTTGTAGTTTTATTGGGAGTGGAGAGGGGTAAGAAATGTTTTTTGGGTTTGGGAGTGAATTAGGGATTGTTTGTGGTGGGTGTTTTATGTTGGAGGTTTATGGGTGTTTGAGTGGATAAGAGGGGAATTTGGGTGAATAATTTTGATATTTGGTTGTAATTAATTGTTTTGGAAAAAATGGATGGATTTGGGATTTGGTGGAAGTTTGGGGGTGTGTTGTTGATTGTATTTGGAATTTGTTTGTTTAATGGAGTAATAGGTTTGGATAGTGTTGTTTAAGGGGGGATTTGAGTTGTGGATAGAGTGGGAGTGTTGGGGTGGGGTGTGTAGTGTGTTTTGTGATAAATTTTGGGTTGTTGGGTTTTTTTTTGGTTATGTGGTTATGTTTGGGAGTTGGAGGGGGTGTTGAAGGTTGTTTGGTGTTTGGTTGGTAAGGGGGGGTGGTAAGTTTAGTTTATTGTATTTTGAGTGGTTATTTTGTGTGTATTTTTTGGGTTTATGGTAGTGTAATAGGTTGTTTTGTTGTTGGGGTTGGGGTGGGTGTGGGTGTTGGGGTGGGGTGGGTTTTGTGTGTGGTTGGGGTTTGATGTTGGTTTTGGGGTTTTTTGTATGGGTGGTTTGGGATTTGGTGTTGGTGTTTGGTTTGTTGTTTTTGTATAGGGTGGTGTGTGGTTGTTGTTGAAGGGTGGGGTGTTTTGGAGTTAAAATGTGTTGATGAGTGAATTTTATGTATTTTATTTATTGGGTTTATTAGGTTGTTTGTGTGTAGTCAGGTTGTAGTGGGTTGGGGGTGGGGGGGTTTTGGGGTTTTTTTGGGTTTGGTTGGGGTTGTGGTTTGGGGTATTGGGGGGGGGTGGTGGGTAGTGGGTTGGGGGGGGGGTGGTGTGGGGTGGGGGGGGGGGGGGTTTGGTGGTGGGGATTTGGTGGTGTTTGTTTAGTTGGTTTGATTATGTTGAAAGGTTATATAGGGGGGTGGGTGTGGTTGGGTGTGTATATGTTGATATTTGGGGTGTTTGTTTTGGGGTTGGTGGGGTGTGGTGTGGTGTGTTTGGTGGTTGGTGGTGTTTGGTTGTGGTGTGGGGGGTGTTTATGGGTTTGGGTAATGTTGTTGTGGTTGTGTTTGTGGGGGGGGGGGGGGTTGGGTGGGGGAGGGGAGTGTTTGGGGGTTTTGGGTGTGGTTTGGGGGAGGGGGGTATGGTTGTGGGGGGGTGTTTGGGGGTGGGTGTGGGGGGGGTTAGGAGTGAGAGTATTGTGGGGGGTGGGAGTGGGGGGATTGTAAGAGTGGTAGTTTGGGTGGGGTAGTGGTTGATTGGGGGGGGGGGGGGGGGGGGGGGGGTGGTTAGGGGGTGTTGATAGTTAAGTTTTTTTGGTGGGGGGGGGGGGGGGGGTAGGGGATGGTTTTGGGTGTGTGTGTGTGGGGGGGGTTGGTGGGTGTTTGGTGTGGTTGGTTTTGTTATGTGGTGGGGGTTGGTGGGTTGGGGCGGGGGGGGTGAGGGGTGGTGGGGGTGGTGTGGTTTGTTTGGTGGGGGGGGTGTGGTTGGGGGGGGGGGTTGGGTTGGGGGGGGGTTTTGGGGTGTGGGGGTTTGGGGGGTGGGGGGGGGGTGGGTTGGGTGGGTGGGGTTTTGTGGGTGGGGGTGGTGTGTTGGGGGGTGGGGGTGGTGGGGGTTGGGGGGGTGGTGGTGGGAGGTGGTTTTTATTAAGGTGGTTTGTATGGTTTATGGTGGTTTGAGGGGTAAGTTTTTTTTATTGTTGGTTTTTGGTTGTGGGGGTTTTGTTGTGGTTGGGGTGTTGTGTTGGGGGGGTGGTGGTGGGGTGTGTGTGGGGGGGGGGGTGGTGGGGGGGAGTGTTTATGGTGGGGGTGGGGTTGTGGGTGGTAGGGGGGTGGTGTGGTTTGTGATTGGTGTTGGTGGGGGGTGTGTGGTGGGGGGTGGGGGGGGGGATGTGGGGGTGTGGGGTGGGGGTTGGGGTGTGGGGGGTGGGGTTGGGTTGGGGGGGTGGGGGGGGGGTTTGGGTTGGGGGGGGTGTTGTGTGTGGGGGTGGGGGGGGGGGTTGGGTGGGTTGTGGTGGGGGGGTGGTTGGGGTGGTGGGTGTTGTGGGGGGTGTGGGGGGTGGGGTGTTGGGGTGGGTGGGGGGGTGGTGGGGTGGGGGTGGTGGGGGTGGGGTTGGGTGGTTGGGGGTGGGGGGGGTGTATTGGTGAGGTTTGGGGGTGTTTGTGTGTGGTGGGGGGGGTGTGTGGGTGTGGGGTTGGGGTGGGTGGGTTTGGGTGTGGGTGGTGGGTGTTGGGGGGGTTTGGTTGGTGTGTGTGTGGGTGGTGGGGTGTGGTGTGGGGGGGGGGGGGGGGGTGTTGGGGTGGGGTGTGGGGTTGGGGTTTGGTGGGTGGGGTGTTTGGGTTTGGTGGTGGTTGGTGGGGGGGTGGGGTTTGGGTGGGTTTTGATGTGTGGGTTGTGTGTGGGGTGGGGGTGGGTAGGGGGTGGTGGGGGGTGGGGGTGGGGGGGGGTTTTGTGGGGGGGTTTGTTGTGGGGGTGGTGTGGGGGTGGGGGGGGTGGGGTGAGTGTTGGTGGGGGTGTGTTTTTGGTGATGTGTGGTGGGGGAGGGGGGGGGTGTGTGGGGGTTTTGGTTTATGGTGAAGGTGGGTGGGGGGGGTGTGTTGTGGTTTGGTGTTGGGGGGGGGGGGGGGGGGGGTGGGGGTGGGGGGGGGGTGGGTGGTGGGGGTGGGTTTGGGGGTGGGGGGGTGGGGTGGGGGTTTTTTTGGTGGGGGGGGGGGTGGGGGGGGGTGTGGGGTGGGGTTGGTGTGGGTGGTTGTTTTGTGTGGGGTGGTGGTGGGGTTGGGTTGGTGGGGTGGGGGGTTGGTGGGGGGATGGTGATGGGTGGGTGGGTTGGGGGTGTGTGTTTGTTAGGGTTTTTTGTGTTTGTTTGGTGGGGGTGTTGTGGTGTGTGTGGGGGTGGTTGAGTGGTGTGGGGGTGGGGGTGGGTTAGGTTGTTTGGGGGGGGGGGTTTGGGTTTTGTTTAGTTAGAGTGGGTGGGGTTGGTGTGTTTATTGGGTGGTGGGTTTTTGTGTTGGGGGTGTGGGTTTGGTGGGTGTGTGGTGGGGGAGGGTGTGTGGGTTTTGGGGGGGGGAGGTTGGTGGTGGTTGGGGGGGGGTGGGTTGTGGGGGGGGGGGGTGGGGGATGGGGTGGTTGGGGTGGGTGGGGTTTTTGTTGGGTTGGGGTGTGGTGGGGTTTGGGTTTTTGGTGATTGGGGTGGTGTTTGTGGGGGGGGTTGGGGTTTTGTAGTGGGGGGGTGGGGGGGTGGTGGGTGTGTTGTGGGGGGGGGGGTTGTGGGGGTGGTTGGTGTGGGTAGGGGGGGGGGGTGGGGGGGGGTGGGGGGTGGGGGGGGTGGGTTGTTGGGGGGGGGGGGGTGGGTTTGTGGGGTGGGGGTGGGTGATGGGGTGGTTGGGTGGGGTTTGTGAGGGGTGTTGTGTGGTGGTGTGTGTGTGTGGGGTGGGTGTGTGGGTGGAGGGGTTGGGTGGGGGGTTGGGGGGGGGGTGGGGGGGGGGTGTATGGTGGTGGGGTGTTTGGGTGGGGGGGGGGTGGTGTGGGTGTGAGGGGGGTTGGGTGGGGGGGGGGGGGGGAGTTTGGGGTTGGGTTGGGGGGGGGGGGTTTTGGGGTTGTTGGGGGGGGGGGGGGGGGTGGTGGTGGGTGGTAGGGGGGGTTGGGTGGGGGGGGTGGGGGGGTTTGGGGGTGGGGGTGTGGGGGGGGGGTTGTTTGTTTTGGGTGTGATTAGTAGTGGGGATTGGTGTAGGTGTGTGTGTTGGTGGGTGGGGGTGGGTGGTTGTGGGTGTGGGTGTGTTTTTGGAGGTAGGTTGGGGGGTTGGTGGGTTGGGGTGGGTGGTGGGTTTGTGTGGGGGGGGGGGGTTTGTTGTTGGTTGTGGGGGGGGATTTGTGGAGTGGTGGGGTTTGGGGGTTGGTTGTTTGGGGGGGGTGGTGTGTGGTATTGGGGGGGTTTTTGGGATATATAATTATAGAATGTATATAGTTGGAAGAGGGATGTGGGGGTGATGGTAGAGGGGGTATGTTTTTTTGTTTTTTTATAAGTGATTGTATGGTATTGGGTGAGGTGGATATGTGGGATTATTTGGTGATTGTGATTGGAGGGTTTGAGTTGTTGGTGTATTAATATTGATTTGATGTGGTTTTATAGTTGTTGTTGTTTTTAGGAGGGTGTGTTGGTGGGTTGGTTTTGTTGATTTGTTGTTGTGTGGGTTGTTTGGTGTGGGGTTTGGTTTTTGTTGTGGTTGGGTGTGTGGGTTTTTGTTGGTGGGGGGGGTGTGGGGTGGAGGTGGGGGGGTGGGGGGGGTGGTGGTGGGGTGTTTGTTGGGGGTTTGTTGGGGTTTTGTTAGGGTTTTTTTGTTTTTTGTGTGGTTTAGGTTTGTTGGTTTTTGGGTGGGGGGTGGGTTTTTTGGGTTGTTTTGTGTTTGTGTTGTGTTTGTGTGGTGGTGTGGTTTGGGGGTGGGGGGGGGGTTGGTGTGGGGGGGTTGGATTGGGGTTGTGGTGTTGTATGGGGGTGTGTGTTTTGGTTTATTGTGTTTGTTTAGGTTTGTTTGTGGGTGTTATTGTGGTTTGGGTAGTTGATATGTTTTTGGGTGTGGTGGTGGGGGGGATGTATTTTGGGTGAAGTGGTGGTTGTTTATGGAGGGTAGTGATAAGAGAGGAAAGTGGTTTTGGGGAGGAATGAGGGAGGGGGGGTATTATTGGATGAAGGGATATGGAGATGATGTGTAATTAGGGGGTTGTTTGATGGTGATTAGTGGAGAGGGGAAAATTGAGGTAAAGTGTGAGGTTTTTGGATATGTGTGGGGGGGGTGGTGGGGGGGAGATTGGGTTTGGGGTTGGGTTTTTGGGGTAGATGTGTATTTGTGGTTGGGTTGATTGTATTATTTAATGTGTTGGGGGGTGGTGGTGGTTGTGGATTGGGAATGGAAAAGGGAGTGGTGGGGGGTTGTGTTAAGGGGAGAGAGGGGTAGGATTGGGAATTGATTTGGTTGGTATAGATGTATAGGGATGTTGGGGAGGGTGTAGATGTGGTGAGAAGGAGGGTGAGATGTAAAAGATGAAAGGGAAGTATTGGAGTTTGGGGGTGGTGATGATGAGGTGTGTTTAGTGTGGTTGATGTTTTTAGGGGAAGTGGTTAGTAAGATTTTAGGAAAAGGAAGGTGGAAGGGTTGGGGATAATAGGGAGGGAGGTGAGGGATGGGTGAAGTTGGTGGGGATTAGGGGGGTTATTTGTTAGGTAAAAGTTGGGTAATTGTAGTGGTGGGGTGGAGGGGATGAGAGAAGGGGAGAAGGAAGGTGTTTGGGGGATTGTGGGGTAAAAGGAATTGTGATGTGGAAGGGGATAGAAGGAAAGGGAGTTTGTGGGAGGGAGGTATTGGTGTTGTGTTGGGATTAGGGGGGGGTGGGGGTGTTTAAGGAATGTTGAAGGTTTTGAGGGGTATGGAGAAGTTGTTGTTTGGGGAAGGAAGGTGGATGTGGTGGATAATTATGATTGGGGTGTGGGTGGGAGTGAGAGAGATTATTATTATTATGTGTTTGGGTTTTGGAGGGGATATTAATGTTTTTTAAGGAGATGGGGGAGGAAATGTTGTTGTAAGTTGTGGATTATTTAATAAGGGTGAGGTGGGTTAGGTTTATGGGGATGGAGAGGGGTGTAAGAATGTGTTTTGGGTTTGGGGAGTGAATTAGGGATTTTTTTGGTTGGTTTTTAGGGTGGAAAGGTTGAGGTGTGGTGGAGGGTTGATATGTAGTAATTTGGGGAAGGTAAGTATTAGTATTTTTTGTGTTATTAGTTGTTTTGAAAAAGAGAGGATGGGGATGGTGTGGGATGGGGAGTGGGGGGGGGTTTGGGGAGGGGTTTTTGTATTGTGTTGTGGTGTTTGTTGTATGTGGTTGTTGTTTGTTTATGGGGGGGATGTTGATGGGGGTTGTTTTAAGATAGGGAGGTGTTGGGGGGTGTGAATTTGGGATGTGGAAGTTTTTGGTTTGGGTGTTTGTTTAAGGTGAGGGGTATGTGTGTTTTGATGAGGATGTTTGTTTAAGGTGTTATGGATTGAGGGTTGGAAGGGTGTGGAAGAGGTTATTAAGTTGGGAAATTTGGGGGAGTGGTTATTAATTTTGTTTGTATTGGGGGTTTGGGTATAAGGGAAAGTGGTAATAGTGGGTTTTTGTTTTTTTTGGTGGTGTGGGGGGGATGGATTTAGGTTTAGGAGGTGTGGGGGTTTGTAGGTTTAAATGGAATGGTTTTGGGGAATTGAAGTTAAGGGAATTGTAAAGTATTTTTAGAATGGATTAAAGAGAGTTGAAGGAAATGAGTGGGTATAGTAGTAGGAAGTAATTGGTTTAGTAGTTGTTTGTTGTTAGAGGTGGGTGTTTGGGGAGTAAAATGTTGAAGGATGAATTAAATTGATAAGGTATGTTTTTGTTGTATGAGGTGTGTGGTGTGTTTTGGTGTTTGATTGGTTGGGGTAATAATGTTTTGAATAAATGTTTGGGAAAGAGGGGATGGGTTTGGTTGATAGGGGGGAGTGGTGGTAGGTGGGGGTAGGGGGGGGGTTGAGGGTTTTGGGGGGAGTTGGGGGGGGGGGATGAGGGGGGGGAGTTTTATTATGGTGGATTGTTTAGTTGGTGGTGGTATGGTTGTTGGGTTTTATTGGGTGTGGTGGTGGTTGGGTGTTGGGTGGGGGGGGGGGGTTGGTTGGGTTTGGGGTTGTGGGGGGTTGGAGAGGGGTGAAATGTGGTATGTTGGTTTGTTTTGTTTGGGGGGGGTGTTTTATTTTTTTTTGGGATGGTAGTGGTTGTGTGGGTGGGGGGGGGGGGGGGTGGGGGGGGTGGGTGTGGTGGGGGGGGTTTGGGTTGTGTGGGTGGGGGGTTGTGTGTGGTGGGGGTGGTTTGGGTGGTGGTGTGGGTGGGGGTTTGTGGTGTGTTGGTGGGGGGGGGGTGGTGGGGGGTTGTGGTGGTGGTGGGGGGGGTGGGTGGGTGGGGGGGGGGGGGGGGGGGGGGGGGGGGGGTGGGTGTGGGTGTGTTGGTGTGGGGTGTTGTGGGGGGGGGTGGGGGTTGGTGTGGGGTGGGGGGGTGTGGGGGTGGGGGGGGGGTTGTGGTTGTTGGGGGGTTGCTGGGGTTGTTGGTGGGGGTTGTGGGGTTGGGGGTGGGTTTGGGTGTGGGGGTGGGGGTGTTTGGGTTGGGGGGGTGTGTGTGGTGGGTGTGGGGTTGGGGTGGGGGGTGGGTTTGGGGGTGGGGGGTGTGGGGTGGTGTGGGGGGGGGTGGGTTGGGTGGGTGGTGGGGGGGGTTGTTGGTTGTGTGGGTGTTGGTTTGAGTAGGGGGTGTTTTGGGTTTGGGTTTTGTTGGTTTGAGGTTGTGAGGGGTTTTGTTTGTGGTTGGGTGGTTTTGGGTGGTTTGTTGGGTTTGGGTAGTTTTTGGTGTGGTTGGGGTGTTTGGGGTTGGTTTAGTTTATGGTTGGTTGTATTTGGGGGTGGGGGGTTTTTGATAGTGGGGGGTGGGGGGGGGGGTGTGGGGTTGGGGGGGGGGGGGTTGGGGTGTTGGGGGGGGGTGTTTTGTATGTGGTTGGAGGGTGGGGTGGGGGGGGGGGGGGGTTGGTGGGGGGGGGTGTGGGGGTGGGGGGTGGGGTGTGGGGGGGTGGGGATGGGTTGGGGGGGGGGGGGGGTTGGGGTGTGGGGGGGGGGTGTGTTGTGTGGGGGTGGGGGGGGTGTTTGGGGGGTTTGTGGGGGTGGGGTGGGTGGGTGTTGGGGGGTGTTGGGGGTGGGTGTGGTGGGTGTGGGGGGGTGTGGTGGGGTGGGGGGGGGTGTGGGGTGGGTTGGGGGTGGGGGGGGGGGGGGGGGTTTTGTGGGGTGGTTGGGGGGGTGTTGGTGTGTGGGTGTGGGGGTGTGGGTGTGTGTTGGTTGGGGGTGTGGGGGGTTGGGGTTGTGGGTGGGTGGTGTGTTTTGGGGGTTGTTGGTGGTGGTGGTGGGTGGGTGTGGTGGGTGGGGGGGGGTTTTGTGGGGGGGGTTGGGGGTGGTTGGGGTGGTGTGGTGTGGTGGGGGGGTGTTGGGGGGGGGTGGGGTTTTGGGTGGGGTTTTTGGGTGGTGGGTTGTGGGGGGGGGGGGTGTTGGGGGGGGTGGTGGGTGGGGTGGGGGGGTGGGTGGGGGTTGTTTGGGGGGTGGGGTGTGGTGGGGGGGGGTGGGGGGTTGTGTTTGGGGGGTTGTGTGTTGGTGTTTGTTTTGTTTTTGTGGGGAGTGGGGGGTATGGGGTTTGGGGTTTTTGTTGTGGGTGGGGGGGTGGGGGTGTTGTTGAGGTGGTTGTGGGGGGGGGGGGGGGGGGGGGGTGGTGTTTGGGTTTGGTGGTGGGTTGGGGGGTTTTTTGTTTTTGTGGGGGTGTTGTGGTGTGGGTGTTTGATGGGGGGGGGGGGTGGGGGGGGGGTGTGGGGGGGGTGGGGTGGTTGGGGGGGGGGTTGGGTTGGTTGGGTGTGGGTTGGTGGGGGGGGTTGGTGGGGTTTGTGAGTGGGGGGGGGTGGGGGGTGGTTGTGGGTGTGGGTTGTGTGTTGTGTGTGGGGGGGGTGGTGGTGGGGGTTTGGGGGGTGGAGTGTGGTTGTGGTATGTGGGTGGGGGGTAGGGTGTGGGGGGTGTGTTGGGTTGTTTTGGGTGTTGGGGTTGGTTTGGGGGGGTTTTAGTTTTGGGGGGTGGGGTGGTGGGTGTGTGGGGGGGGTTGGTGGTTGGGGGTGGGGGTTTGGTGGTGGGTTGGGGGGTGGGTGGGGGGGGGGTGGGGGGGGGGTGGGGTAGGGGGGTGGTGGGGGGGGGGTGGGTGTGGGTGGGGTGTGGTGGTGTTTTGTTTGGGGTGGTTGGGGGTGGGGGGGGGGTTTTGTGTGTTGGGGGGGTTGGGGGTGTTGGGGTGTGTTGGGGGGGGGGGTGGTTGGGGGGGGGGTGGGGTGTGGGGTTGGGGGTTGGTAGGGGGGGGGGTGGGGGGGGGGGGGGTGGGGGTTGTGTTGGGAGGGGGTGGTGGGTTGGTGGTGGGGGTGTTTTGTTGGGTGGGTGGTGGGGGTGGGGGGTTGGTGGGGTGGGTGGGGGTGGGGGGTGTGGGGGGTGGAGGGTGGGGGGGGTGGTGGGTGGGGGGGTGGGGGGGGGGTTGTGGTGTGTGTTGTGGGGTTGGGGGGGGGGGTGGGGGGTGGGTGGGGGGGGGTGGGGGGGGGGGTGTGGGGGGGGTGGGGGGGGGGTGGTGGGGGGAGGGTGGGGGTGGGGGGGGGGGGGGGGGGTTGTGGGGTGGGTGTGGGGTGGGGTGTGGGTGGGGGGGGTGGGGGGTTTGGGGGGTTGGGGGTGTGGGGGGGGGTTGGGTTTGTTTGGGTTGTGGTGGTGGTGTGGTGGGTGGGGTGGGGGGGGGGGGGGTGGGGTGGGGGGGGGGTGGGGGGGTGGGGGTGGTGGTGGGGGGGGGGGGGGGGTTGGGTGTTGGGGGGTGTGTGGGTGGGGGGGGGTGTTTTGTGGGGGGGATTTGGAGGTGATTATGTGAGGTTGTGGGGTATGGGGTTTTGAAGTAGTGGGGGGTGATGATAGAGGGGGGGAATTTTGTTGTGATAGTTGTATTTAGATTTTTTTTTTTTTGTGTTGGTGGATGTGGTGGGGGGGTGGTAGAGGGGGTTGGTGGGGTGGGTTTTTTGATGGGTTTTGTGTGTTTGGGTGGTGGTGGTTTGTTTGTGAGGTGGGGTGGTGTGTGGGGTGGGTTTTGGTGGTGGTGGGTGTTGGTGTGGGTGGGGTGTGGGGTTGGGTTTGGGTGTGGGTTGTGGTGGTGTGGGTGGGGGGGGTTTTGGGTGTTGTGTTGTTTTGTTGGGGGTGTGGGGAGGGTTTGGTTGGTTGTGTGTGTGGTTGGGTGGTGAGGGTGGTTGTGTGTTGGGGGGGGGGGGGGGTGGGTTGTATGGAGGGGGGGGGGGGTGTTTTTTTGGGTGGAGGTGGGTTGATAGGAAGTGTTTAAGAAGGTTTATTATTATAGTGATATTTAAAAAGATGAGTTGTGGATAATGAAGGTAGTAATTAATGAGTGGAGTGGTAAATGAATTAAGAGATTATGTGATTATAGATATTGGAGGGTTGTGTATGGGGGGTTGTGGGGTAAAGTTTGGAGGGGGTGTGGATATAGTGTATGGTTATAGGTTATTAGGGTGTTGGTGATTTTGTTAATAAGTTTTGGTATGAGGGGTGTTGAGGGGTGGGTTTTTGGTTTTTTGGTGTTATAAAGTGTGGGAGTGTTTGTAAGTTGGGTTATTGGGGATGTGTATAAGTTGTGTGGGAGGTGGGGGTGTGTTGTGTGTTTGTGGTTTGGGGTGGTTTTGTGGGTGTGTTTGTGGGGGTTGGGATGTTTGGTGTGGTAGGGTTAGGTTGGTGGGGGTTGGTGTGTGAGGATGTGGTGTGGTATTGAGGATAGTGGGGAAGGTTTGTTTGTGTTGGGGGTGGGGGGGTTGGTTTGGGTTGGTTATGTGGGATAGGTAGGGTTAGTAGGTATAGGTAAGTTGAGGGATGGGTTTATTGTGGTTAGGAGTGTAGGGGTGTATGAGGTAGTGATTGGGATATGGAAATTTTGGGAGGTGGGGGGGTGGTGAATGGGGAGATGAAGGGGTAGGTTGATAATTTGGATTTGTGGGTAAGTGGGTATTGGGTTTTGGGTGGTGTAAGTGGGAGAAGGAGGTGGGAGATTGAAGGAAGAGGGAAGGAAGTATTGGAGGTTTATGGGGGGGTTGTAGGATGATTGGGAGGTGTGTTTATTTTGGTGATGTTTGGTAGGGGAAGTGGTTAGGGAGAAATTTTAGGGAAAGGAATTGGAATGGGTTGGGGATAATAGGAGGGAGGGGGAGGGATGGGGGGTGATTGGAAGGGGGATTTGGGGTATTTGTTAGGAAAAAGGTTGGTATTTATGGGTGGGGTGGAGGGATGAAGAGGAAGGGGGGAAGAGGGAGGATTGTTTGGGAGATTTGGTAAAGGAATTGGGAAGTGTAAGGGGAATAGAAGGGGGAGTTTGTTGAGGGAGGGGTATTGGGTGTTTTTGGGTTTTGGGGGGTGGTGGGGTTTAGAATTTGAAGTTTAGGGGGTATGATAAGTTGGTGTGTGGGAAGAATTGGTGTTGGTGGGGGGGTGTTGTATGGATTGGGGTGGGTGGTGTGTGTGATGTAGGTGTGTATGGGTTGTTTTTGGTAGTTGTGTGGTGGTTTGTAGGGGGTTTTTGGGTTGGTTTGGTGGGGAGTTTGGTATTTGGGTTGGTGTTGGTGTTTGTGGGTGGGGGGTGGGTGGGTTAAAAAATGTTTTTTGGTTGGGGGAGGTGAATTAGGATTTGTTTGGGTGGTTTTTTGGTGGGGAGGTTTATGTGTTGAGTGGGATAATGAGGATTTGGGAATTAATATTGGATTTTGGGGGGTTGTATGTTTTGTTTGTGTTATTGTTGTGGGTTGGTTTGGGGGGTTGGATTGGGTTTTGTGGATGTGTGTATTTGATTTGGTGTGTGGAATGGGGAGTATTAGGGGGTGTAGGGTTGGTTTGGGGTTTGGTGGGTTTGTGGTTAGGGGTGTGTTGGGGGGTGTGAATGTTTGAGGAATTTGGATTTATTTGGTTTTGGGGGGGTTTGTTGGGGTGGTGTGGTGTTTTTGGTTGGGTTTGAGGTTGGGGTTGGTGGTTTGGTGTTAGGGTTGGAAGGGGTGGTAGGGAAGAGGGTTGGGTGGAATGTAATTTGGGTGGGGTAATTGTTTGTATGGGGGTTTGGGTATTAAGAAGTGTAAGAGGTTTGTTTTTGTTGGGGGGGGGATGGGGAGTTAAGTTGTAGGAGGTGTGGTTTGAAGTTAAATGATGGTTTTGGTAATTGGATTTAAGGGTATTGTATAGTTGTATTTTTAATTGGATTTATGGATTTGGAGAAGTTGATTTTTGTATAGTTGGTAATTTTAGTGAGTTGTGGTGGTTTTTGTGGATAGGTGGGGGTGGGTTTTGGAAGTAAAATGGGTGAAGGATGTGGATTATTATAAATATAAATTATTTTGAGGATGTTTATTGGTTTAGTTGAAGTGTGTTGGGTGTTTAGGTTAGTGGGGTTGGGAATAGGTGTGTTTTTTTGGGTTGAGTGTGGTTGTGGGTTGGGTAGGGTTTGGGGGGGTGTGGGGGTGTGGGATGGGGGGTGTTGGAGGGATTTGGGGAGTTGGGGGGGGTGGGGTGTTGTTGTGGGTAGGGGGGTGTGGGTGGTGGTTGTTTTTGGGTAGTGAGGGGGGGGGGGTGGGGTGGGTGTGGTAGGAGTTTGTGTGGGGGTGTGGATGATTGTTGGGTGAGTGGGGGGGGGGGTGAGGGTGGTTTGGGTGATTGGTGGTATATGGTTGTGAGGGGGAGTTGATGTTTGAGGGGTTGTTGTGTGTGTTTTGGTGGGGGGGGGGGGGGGTTGTGTGGGGGGATGGTGGGTGTAGTGGGGTATATGGGGGTTTTAGTTGGGTAGGGGTGTATGGTAGAGGTTGTGGAGTAATATGGTGGGAGGGGGTGGGGGGGGGGGGTTGTGTGTGTTGGTGGGGGGTGGGGGGGGGGGGGGATTTGGGTGTTGGGGGGGTGGGGTTGTGTTTGTGGGGGGGGGGGGGGGGGGGGGGGGTGGGTTTGGGGGGAGGTGGTTGTTTGGGGTGGTAAGGGGGGGGGGGGGGGGGGGGGGGGGTTGGGGTGGTGGGGGGTGTGGGGTGGGGGGGGGGGTTGTGGGTGTATGGTGTTGTTGGGGGTGTTTGGGTGGGGGTTGGTTTTGGTTTGGGGGGGGGGTTGGGTGGTGGGGGTTGGGGGGTTTTATGTGTTGTTGGTGTGGAGTGGGGGTGGGGGGGGGGTTGGGTGGGGGGGGGTTGGGGGTGGTGGTTTTGGGGTTGTGGTGGGTGGTTTTGTGGTAGGGGTTTGGGGGAGTGTTATAGTGTGATGTGGTGGGTGTTTTGGAGAGTTGTGGGTTTGGGTTTGAGGGGTTAATTGGTGGGTGGAGGTGGGTGGGGTTTATTAATGGTGGTTTGTATTTATGGGGGGTTTAGGGGTATGTTATATTTATTTGTTGGTTTTAGGGGGGGTGTTATGGGTTATGTGTGTTGTTATAGGGTTGAGTTGTGTTTGGGGTGGGGTGGTATTGTGAAGTGGAGATGGGGGGTGGGGGGGGGGGGGGTGGGGGTGTTGGGGGGGGGGTGTGGGGGGGTGGGGGTGGGGTGGTTGGTGTGTTTTGGAGTTGGTGTGGGGGGTGGGGTTGGGGGGGGGTGAGGGTTGGGGGGGTTTGGGTGGGGGGTATGTGGTGTGGTGGGGGATTGGTTTGGGTAGGGGGGTGTGGGTTGATTGTGGGTGTTGGGTGGGGTTTTTTGGTTTGTTTTTTAGTGGGTGGGGGGGTGTGGGGGGGTTGGTGGTGGGGGTTGGGTGGGGGGTTGGGTTTGGGGGGGTGTTGGGGGTGGGGGTGGTGGGGGTTGGTGGGGTGTGGGGTGGGGTTGGGGTTGGGTTGTGTGGGGGGGGGGGGGGGTGTGGGTGGGTGGGGTGTGGTGTTGGGGTGGGGGGGGGGTGTGGGGGGGGTTGGGGTTGGGGGGGGGGTGGGGTGGGGTGGTGTTGGGGGGTGGTTGTGTGGGGGTGGGGGTGGGTGGGGTGGGGGGTGGGTGGTGTTGGGGGGGGGGTGGGGGTTGGGGGTTGGTGGGGGGGTTGTGTGGTTTGTGGTTTTTGGGTGGGGTGGGGTTTGGGTGGGTTTTTTGGTTGGGGTGGTGTGGGGGGGGGGGTGGGGGTTGGGTTGGGGGTGGGGGGTTGGGGGGTGGGGTGGGGTGTTGGGGGGGGGGGGTGGGGGGTGGGGGGGGTTGTTGGTGGGGTTGTGGTGGGGTGGTTTGGTGGGGGGGGGGGGGGGGGGGGGTGGGGTGGGGGGGGGTGGGTGGGTGGGGGGGGGGGGGTTGTTGGTGGTGGTGGTGGGGGGGGGGGGGGTGGTGGGTGGGGGGGGGGTTGGGGTGGGTGTTTGGGGTGGGGGGTGGGGTGTTTTGTGTGGGGGGGGGGGGGGGTGGGGTGGGGGGTGGGGGGTGTGGTGGGGGTTGTGGGGAGTGTGGGTGGGGGGGGGGGTGGGGGGGTGGTGGGGGGGGGGGGGGGGTGGGGGGTGTGTGGGGGGGGGGGGGGGGGTGGTGGGGGGGTTTGGTGGGTGGGGTTGTGGTGTGTGGGTGGGGTTGGTGTGGGGGTGTTTGGGTGTTGTGGGGTGGTTGGGGGTGGGGGGGGTTTTTTGTTGGGGGGGTGGGGGTGGGTGGGGTGTTGGGGGGGGGGTGGGGTGGTGGGGGGGGGGGTGGTTGGGGTTGGGGGTGGGGGGGGGGGGTGTGGGGTGGGGGTGGTGGGGGGGGGGTGGTGTGGGGTGGGGGTGGTGTGGGGTGTTTGTGTGGGTGTTGGGTGGGGGGGTTGTTGTGTTGGGGGGTGGGGTGGTGGGGTTGTGTTGGGGGGGGGTTGGGGGGGGGTGGTGGTGGGTTGGGGGGGGTGGGGGTGGGGGGTGGGGGGGGGGGGGGGTGGGGGTTGGTTGGGGTGGGGGGGTGGGGTGTGGGAGGGTGGGGGGGTGGTGGGGTGGTGGGTGGGATGTGGTGGGGGGGTGGGTGTGTGTGGTGGGGTGGTTGTTGGGTGTGTGGGGTGGGTGTGGGGTGTGGGGTGGGGTGGGGGGTGTGTGGGGTGGTGGGGTTGGGGGGGGGGGGGGTGGGGGGGGTGTGGGGGTGGGGGGGGGGGGGGGGGGGGTTGGTGTGTGGGGTGGGTGGGGGGGGGGGGGGGGGTGGGGGGGGGGGGGGTGGGGGGGGGGTTTGGGTGGGTGGGGGTGGGGTGTGGTGTGGGGGTGTGTGTTGTGGGTATAGGTGGGTGGGGGAAGGGGTTTTTGGAAGGTGTAGGGTTTGGGGGTGTGGTGGTTGGTTGGGGTGGTGGGTGGGGGGGGGTGGGGGGGGGGGTTGGGGGGGGGTGGGGTGTGGTGGTTGGGGGGGGTGGGGGTTGGGGTGGGTGGGGGGGGGGTTGTGGGGGGGGGGGGGGGTGTTGTGGTTGGTGGTGGGGGGTTTGTGGGTGTGGGTGGGTTGGGGGGTGGTTGTGGGGTGGGGTTGAGTTGGTTGGGGGGTGTTTGGTTTTTGTGTTTTTGATTTTTCGTGATTGGGTTGTGGTGTGGGTGTGGGTTGTGGGGTGTTGGGTTGGGGGTTTAAGTTATTGGATGGTTTGGTGGAGGGTGTTTTGTTGGTTTTGTGGTGTGTGTGGGTGGTTATTTGTGTGTGGGTTTGTTTTGTGGTGTGGTTGGGTGTTTTTTGGGTGTGGGGTAGTGGTGTGTTGGGGGGGGGGGTTGTGTGGTTTTTTTTGGGTGGTGTGGGGTGGGGGTGGGTTGGTTTTGGTGTTGGGGTGGTGTTGTGGTGGTGGGTGGTAGTGGTGGGGTAGGGGTGGTATGGTGGGGGGTTTTTGTTGGGTGGTGGTGGTTGATAGGAAGTGTGGAAGAGGTTTATTATTATGTGATATTTAAAAAAGTATATGATGGTATATATGAAATGTGGATTTATTGGTAGTGTGGAGTGTAAAGAATATGAAGAGAAGAGTGATTATATATAATAGGAGGTTATGTGTAAGGTGTGGTTGTGGGTGGTAAGTAGAGGGGGGTTTGTATAAGTATGTTTTGTAGGTTATTAGGGTTTGGATGTATTTATTATATATAATGATTGTTGGTTTGAGGTGGGTATTTATGTTATTTGGGATAATTATTGGTGTTTTTGTGAGTGGGTGTGGTGTGTATGTAGGGGGATTATGTGGTAGTTGTGTTAAAGTTGTGTGAGTATAGATAGAGAAAAGGAGGATTAGGGGAGGGAGAAGAGGTGAGGGGGTGATTATGTGGATAGGAGTATGGAGATGATTGTAATGTAGGAGGGGGTTGTATGATAGGATAGTGGAGAGGGAAAGGTTGGAGTGGGGAAAGAGTGGAGGTGTTGGAAGAGTATGGGGTGGGTGAGGGGGGTGGTGGGGAATGGGGGGTATGGGATATTGAGGAAGGTAGGGGGAATAGATAGGGTATATTAGAAGATGAGATGTTGTTAATGGTATTATATTTTTGATGAATGGGGGGTGGTAAGAGGGGGTAGTGATTGGGGGGGAAAAGGGAAAACTGGGAGTTTGTGGGGGTTTGTTGTAATGGGCTAATGGGGTAAGTGATGGTTGGAAGTTGGATATGTGTGGATAGAGACGAATAGGGTATGTTGGGTGAGGTGTGTAGATGTTTAGAAGGGAGTTGGAGCGTAGAGAGTAGAGGAATGGAAGTATTGGAGGTTATGTGGGGGGGGTTGTGGATGATGGAGGGTGTTGTTTAGTTTGGTGATTTTTTGGGTAGGGGGAAGTGGTTTACGGTAGGGAATTTTTGGGAAATGATGTTGAATGGGTTGGGGATGAATAGAGGGAGGGTGATGGGGGGATTTGGGGTGAGAGGTAGGAGGGGATTAGGTAGTTTGTTGAGGGAAAAAGGTTGAGATTTAGGGTGGGTGTGGGTGTGTTGGAGGGGGGATGAGAGAAGGGGAAGGGGAGGGAGGTTGTTTGGGGGGATAGTGGGGGTAAAAGTGAATTGTGGAATGTAAGGGGGGGGGGATGATAGAAGGGGGGAGTTTGTTTTAGGGAGGTATTGGGGTGTTTTTTTGGATTAGGGGTGTGGTGGGGTATAAGAATTTGAATTTTGAGGGGGGTTATGGAAAGTTGTGTTTGGGGGGGGAAGGGAATTTTGGATGTGGTGTGGGATAATTATGATGTTGTGGTGTGGGTGTGAGTGAGAGAGATTATTATTATTAGTGGTGGTGGGGTTTTTTTTGAATATGAATGTGTTTTAAGAGATGGGGGAGAAATTGTTGTTGTAGGTGTGGATTGATTTAAATAAGGGTGAAGTGTGTAGGTTTTATGTGGGAGGTGGTAGGGAGGGGGGAAAAGAAATGTTTTTTGGGGTTTGGGGAGGTGAATTAGGGGATTTGTTGGTGGTGGGGTGTTTTATGTTGGAGGTTTAGGGTGTGTTGAGGGGTTGGGGTAATGAGGGTAATTGGGTGAAGTAAGTAGTGATATTTTTTGTGGTTATTTAGTTGTGTTGAAAAAGATGGAGGGATGTTGGATTTGTGGGAAGTATTTGGGTTTTTGTTGAGTTGTATTGGAATTTGTTATGTATTGGAGTAATAGGTTGGATAGTGGTTTTAAGGGTTGTGTGAGGGTTGTTTTATAGATAGGAGGAGTGTTGGGGTGGGTGTGATGTTGGAGATTGTGGATAAGTTTGGTGTTGGTGTTTTTTTTATTGTTTGTGTTTGGGAGGAGAGTGTTTTTTATGGTGTTTTGGAGTTGAGGGGTGGAAGGGTTGGAGTAAGAGTTAGTTATTGGGAATTTGGGAGTGGTATTTTTGTGTGTATTGTTTGGGGGTTTTGATATGTGTATTTGTGTGGTTGTTGTTGTTGGGGGGGGATGGGGGATGAGTTGTTAGGAGGTGTGGGGGTTTGAGTAGGTGTATGATGGTTTTGGGAAGGAAATTTAAGTAGTAAAGTGTATGGTTTGAGGATTTAAGGAGTTGGTAGAGAAGGTGGTTGGGGTTTGGTTTGGTTGTATGTGGTGGGTGTGGTGTGGGGTGGTGTGTGGGGGGGTTTGTAGTAAAGATGTTGAAGTGTGATATTAAAGTGATGAGAGTATGGTTATTGGGTTGTATTGAGTTGGTTGGTGTGTAAGGTGGGTATTGGTTTTGGGGTAGGATAAAGTTTTGTAATTTTTGTGTAGAAGAGGTATTGGGGGTTTGGGGGGTAGGATAGGGGGGGGATTTTGGGTAGGAGGGAAGGGGGGGTGGTGAGGATATGGGGGGAGTTTGGGGGTGGTGATGGGTGAGTTTTTTGATGTGGATTAGTTTAGTTGGTTGAGTATGGGAAAGAAAGGGGTAAGTATAGGGGGGGGGGGTGTGGTGGGTGAGGGTGGTGTTGTGATTTGATTTGGGGGTGTGGTAAGAAGTGATGTGGTTTGGTTGGGGGGGGGGGGGTGTGGTGAGGGGTTGAAAGTTTATTGGGGTTTATGGTGGGTTGGGTGGGGGGTGTTTTTGTTTATTGGTGGATTGATTGGGTGTGATTGTTGGGGGGGGGGGGGATTGTTGGGTTGGGGGGTAGGATTGGGGGGGTTTTGGTGGGGTGGTGTGGGGGTTTTGTGTGGGGGGGTGTTTGTTGTGTGGGGTGGGGGGGGGGGGTGTGGTGTTTGTGGGGTGGGAGGGGGGGGGGGGGGGGTAAGGTGTGGTTGTAGGGGGTGGGTTGTTTTGTAGTTTGGGTGGGGTGGGGTGGGGGGGTGGGGGGTGGGTTGGGGTTGGTTGGTTTGGTGTGGTGTTTTTGGGGGGGGGGGGGGGGGGGGGTGGGTTGGGTGGTAGGGGGGTTGGTTGTTGGTGGGGGGGTAATTAGGTATATTGTTTATGGTAGGTTGTGTGTTGGGTAGTTGGTGTTGTGTGTTGTGGTGGGGGGTAGGGTGTGTGGGGGGTGGTGGGGGTGGTTGGGATTGGGTGTGGGTGTTGGGTGTGGGGGGGGGTATTGAGTGTTTGTGTTTTTATGTGTTATTGGTGTATTGGGGTTTTTGTGGTGGTTTGTGGGGTTGGGTTGGGGGTGGGGGTGTGGGTTGGGGGGTGGGTGGGTGGTGTGTGGGGGGGGGGGTGTGGGGTTGGGGGGGGTGGTGTTTGGTGGTGGTTGTGGTTGGTGTTTGGTAGGTTTTGGTGTTTGTGGGGGTTGTGTTGTGGGTGGGGGGGTGGGGTGTTGGGTTGTGGTGTGGGTTTGGGGGGGGGTTGGGGGTGGGTGGGGTGTTTGTAGGGGTGGGGTGTGTGGTGGGGGGGGGGGGTAGTGTTATGGTGGGGGGGGGTTGTGGGGGTGGGGGGGGGGGGGGTGGTTGGGTAGGGTGTTTGTGGTAGGGGGGTGGGGGGTGGGGGGGGTGGGGGGAGGTTGGGGTGAGGGGGATGGGTGGGGGTTGGGGTGTGGGGGTTTGGTAGGGTTGTGGGGGGGGGGGTTTGGTGGGGGGGGGGGGTGTTGTGTTGGGGTGGGGGGGGGGGGTGTGGGGGGGGGTTGTGTGGGGGTGGTTGGGGGGTTTTGGGGTGTTGTGGGGTTTTTTGTGTGTGGGGTGAGGGTGGGGTGTGGTGGGGTGGTGGGGGTGGGGGGGGGGTGGGTGGAGGGGTTTGTTTGGTGGTTTGTGTGGTTTTGTTGGGTTGTTAGTGGTGGTTGGGGGTTTGGTGTTGGGGTGGGGGGGGGTGTGGGGGGGATTGGGGGTGTGGGGGTGTGTGTTGGGTGTGGGGGGTGTGTTTGGGGGGGTGTTGTGGGGGGTGGGGGGGTTGGGGTAGGGGTGTGGTGGGGTGGTGGGGGGGGGGGTTTTTGGGTGGTGGGGGGTTTGGTGGTGGGGGGGGTGGTGTGGGTTGTGGTTGGGTTTTGGGGGGGGGTGGGGGGTTTGGGGTGGGTTTTTGTTGGGTGTGGGGGGGGGGTGGGGTGGGTGTGGGGGTGGGGGGTGGGGGTGTTTGGGGTTGGGGTGGGGGTTGGGGGGGGGGGTGGGGTGGGGGGGGGGTGGGGGGTTGTTGTGGGGGGTTGTGTTGTGGGGGTGGAGTTGTTGGGGGGGTGGGTTGTGTGGGTTGGGGTATGGGTGGTGAGGGGGTTGGTGGGGGGGGGGTGGGGTGTGTGTGTTTGTTGTGTTTGGTGTTTGTGTGTTTGGGGGGGTTGTGGTGTGGGGGGGTGGTGGGTGGGTGAGGGGGTGTGGTGTTGGGGGTTTTTGGGAGTGGGTGGGTTTTGGTTGGGGGGGGGTGGGGGGTTGGTGGGTGGGGGGTGTGGGTGGGTGGGGGTGGGGAGTGGGGTGGGGGTGGTTGGGGTGGGGGGGGGGGGGGTGGGGGGTTTGTGTTGGGTGGGGTGGTGTGTGGGTGGGTGTGTGGGGGGGGGGGGTGGGTGGTGGGGGGGTTGTGGTGGGGGGTGTGGGGGGGGTGTTTTGTTGAGGGGTTGGTTTTGGGTTTGGGGTGTGGGGGGGGTGTTGGGTTGGTTTTGTATGGTTGGGTTTGGTGGGTGGTTGTGGGGTGGTTGGTTATATGGGGGGGTTTGGGTGTTTGTGGGTGTTTGGTGTGGGGGGGGGTGGGGGGGTTGGGGTGGGGTTGGGTGGTTGGTTGGGGGGTGGGGGGGGGGGGGGGGGGGTGGGGGTGGGTGGGTTGGGGGGGGGTGTTTGGGTGGGGGTTTGTGGGGGTGTTTGTTGTTGGGTGGGGGTTAGGGTGTTGGGGGTGGTTGGTTGTGTTGTGGGGGGGGAGGGGGTTGGGGGTTTGGTGGGGGGGGTGGTGGTTTGGTGGGGGGGTGGGGGTGGTTGGGTTGGGGGGGGGGTGGGGGGGTGGTGGGGGGGGTGGGGGTGGGGGTGTTGTGGGTGGGGGGGGTGGGGTGGTGGTGGGTGGGGGGGGGGTGGGGTTGGTGGGTGGTTTGGGTGGGGGGGGGGTGGGTTGGTTGGTGGGGGGGGGTTTGTGGGGTGTTGGGGTGGGGTGGGGGTGGGGGGTGGGGGTGGGGGGGGGGGGGGTGGTGGGGTGTGGGGAGTGGGGTTGGGGGGGTGGTTGTGGGGGGGGTGGGGGGGGGGGGGGGGGGGTTGGTGTGGGTGGGTGGGGTGGGGTGGGGTGGGGGTGGGTGGGGGGGGGGGGGGGGGGGGGTGGTGGGGGGGTGGGGGGGGGTTGGGTTGGGGGGGTGGTGTGTTTTGGTTGTTGGGTGTGAGGGGTTTGGGGTTGGGTTGTGTTGGGTTTTGGTGTTGGTGGGTGGGGATTGTGGGTTGGGGGGGTGGGGTGGGGGGGGGGGGTGGGGGGGGGGGGGGTGTGTTGGGGTGGGGGGGTGGATGGGGGGGTGGGGGGGTTGTGGGGTTGGGGGGGGGGTGTTGTTTTTGGGTGGTGGTGGGTTTTGGGAGGTTGTTGGTGTATGGGGGTGTGTGTGGTTGGGGGGGGTTTGTGTGTGTGGGGTGGGTGTTAGTTGGTTATTGTTATTTATTTATATTTGTGGGGTTGTGGGAGTGTGTGGATGGTTAGAGGGGGGTATTTGATGGGTGTGGTATAAGTGTATTGTATTGGATGGGGGTGGTGGGAAGTTTGATATTAGGTGATGAGATGTGGGTTGGTTATTTGTTTAGGTTTTGATAATTATATGTGTGTGTTATGATGGTTTTATATGTTTTAGTGTGTAAAGTATGGGAGGTGTTGTGGTTTTGGGGAAGGGATATGATAATTTGGAAGGAGTGGGAGAGTGTTAGGGGTTATTTTATTGAAGGATGATGGTTTGGGGGTTTTGAGGGGTTGTTTTTTTTTTTGGGTGTGAGGGGTTGTATGAGGGGGGGTTTGTGTTTGGGGAATGTGGGTTGTTTGAAGTGTGTGAAAAGGTTTATTTTTAAGTGATAGTTAAAGAAGATGGAAGTTGTAAGGAAGGAATGTGTTTTTAATGAGGTGGGATGTTAAAAGATAATTAACGATGATAGTGATGTGTTTTATATAGGAAAATAGGGTTATGTTAAGGTGTTGGTGGTGGGTTGGTGTTGGGGGGGGGGGGTTGTTGTGTTGGTTTTGAGGGTTGTGGTTTTGGGGGAGTTAGTGGTTGTTTTGTGTGTGTGGGGGGTTGTTGGTGGTTAGGGTTTTTTGGTGTGGTGTGTAGTTGGGTGGGGGGGGGGGATGTTTTTTGTAGGGGTTTAATTGTGTTTTTTTGTGTGGTGTAGTGTGAGAGGAAAGGAGGATTAGGGAGGAGGAAAGGGTGGAGGGGTGATTATTGGATGAAGGGGATATGGAGGATGATTTGTAATTTGTGAGGGGGGTGGTGGATTTGGATTGTGGAGTGGTTTGTGGGAGGTGGGGAAAGATGTGGGTAGGTTAGGGGTGGTTGGGGGGTGTGGTGGGGTAGGGGGGGAGGGATAGGTGGATAGTTGGGGGGGGTAGTAGGGGTAAATGTGAATTGGAGGTGGGGTTTAATGTATTATATGAATGAAGGGGGTGGTATGAGGGTTGTATGGGGGTAGAGGAAATGGGAGGTGGGTGGGGGTTTTAGGAGAGAGGGGTTAGGTTGTAATTGGATTGGTTGGGTATTAGAGGTTATTGGGTGGGTGGGTGGGGGTGTTGGGGGTGTTGTGGGTGGGTGAGTGGTTTATGGTTGGGTAGTATTGGTGGGTTTGGGGGGGGGGGTTTGGGTGGGGGTGTGGGGTGGGGGGTGGGGGGTAGGGGGTTGGGTGTTGGGTGTTTTGGTTGGGGTTTTTGGTGTTTTGGTGGGAGATGGGTGTGAGTTGGTGGGGGGGATTTTAGGGTTGTTTTTGAGGAAAAAGGTGGGTATTTAGGGTGGGTGGGGGGGTGGGGGATGAGAGGAAGGGGAAAGGATGTTGGTGTTTGGGGTGGGGGTTATGGGTATTGGTGGATGTGTTAGGAGATATATGTATGGGGTGGTGTTTGGTGGGATGGGGTGTGTGGTGTTTTTTGGGGATTAGGGGTGGGGTGGTTTAATGAATTTGAAGTTTTGAGGGGGTATGGAGAAAGTTTGTTTGGGGGAAGAATTTGGATGTGGTGTGGGATGAATATGATGTTGGGGGGTGTGTGGTGGGGGAAGTTAGAGAGATATTTAGTTAGTTATTATGTGGTGGGTTTTGTGTTGTGAGATAAATTGTGTTTAAGGGGGATGGGGGGAGAAATTGTTTTGTAAGTTTTGGGGATTGATTTAAATAAGGTGAAGGTGGTGTTAGGTTTTATTGGTAGATGTGAGGGAGGGGTAAAAGAAATGTTCTTTGGGGTTTGGGAGGGTGAATAGGGGATATGTTTGTGTGTGGTTGTTTTTAAGGTTGGTAGGTATATGGGTTTGGTTGAGGGGTTGGGGTAAAATGATGGTTAATTTTTGGTGAAAGCAAGTATTGAGTATTAGGTTTGTAGGTAATTAGTTTTTTGAAAAAGATGTAGGGTATTGGTTGGGGGAATGTGGTGTGAAGGTATTGGGGGTTTTTGTTGGAGTGTGTATTTGAAATTTATTTGAAGGGGAGTAATATGTTGGATAGTGGTTGGGGTTTTAAGGGGGGGGATGTTAGGGTATGTGGTTTATGAGATAGGGGAGTGTTGGTGGGGTGTGTAATGTTTGGAGAATGTTGATAATTTTGGGTTGTTGGGGTTTTGTTGTGGGAAGGTGAGTGTATGTTTTTGTTGATGAGAGGTTTTGTTTAAGTGGTTATGGGGAGTTGAGGTTGGAAGGTGGAGAAGAGGTTAGGTTAATTGTGAATTTGGGGGATGGTAATTTTGTTTGTATTGGGGGTTTGGGGGTATATAAGTGTAATATGGGTTGTATTTTTGTGGTTGGGGGGGATGGGGGAGTTAGGTTGTAGGAGGTGTGGGGTTGGTAAGTTAAGATGATAGGTTTGTGGGATTGGAGTTTTTTTTTTTTTTTTTTTTAGAATTGTAAAGTGTATTTTTGAGGAATGGATTAAAGGGATTGGAAGAGAAGGATGAAGGGGGTGTATAGTAAGGAAGGGTAATTGTTAGTGAGGTTTGGGTGGTGTGTTTTTTAGAGGTGGGGTGTTGTTGGAGTAAAGGATGGTTGAAGGGAGAATTAAAGGTGATAGGAGTATGTTATTGGGGTTTAGGTTGAGTGTGGTGTGTGTTGTTAGGGTGTGTGATTGGGGTGTTTTGGGGTAGGATAAAGTTATGAAAATGTTTTGTGTAGGAGAGAGGTGATTGGGGGGTTTGGGGTGTTAGGATAGGGGGGGTATTGTGGTGAGGAGGGGGTAGGGGGGGTGTGGAGGATATGGGAAAGTTTGGGGGGTGGTGATAGGTGGAGTTTTATTGATGGGTTGGTTGTTTAGTTGGTTGAGTATGAAGAAAGGGTATATAGGGGGGAGGTGTGGTGAGGGGGTGGGAGGTAGTGATTTGATTGGGGGGGTGGGGTGGTAAAGGAAGAGAAGTGGGTGTATGGATGGGGGGGGGTGTGGGAGAGGGGGTTGGTGGAATGTGTGAAATGGTGGGTATATTTTGTTTTAGGGGGAGATAATTTAATGATTGAAGTAGAAGTTTGTGAGATTTAGGGGGGGGGGGGGATGTGGGGGGGATGGAGTGATTGGGGGGGGTATATGGTGGGTTTTAGTTTGTAGGGGTGTGAATGTATAGGGTGTGGAGTATAGGTGGGAGTGTGGAGTGTGGGGGTTAGGAGGTGGAGAATAGAAGGGGGGGGTGGGGATGGTGGGGGGGTTGAAGAGGTGTGGTAGTATGGGGGGTGGGTGGAGTGTATTGAGTTTGGTGGGGGTGGGTGTGGGGGGGGTGGGGGGAGTTATTTGGTTAGATGAATTTTGAGGTTTGTGAGTGATATGTGGGGGGGGGGGGGGGGGGGGGGTGGGGTGGTAAGGTGATGGGGGTATTTGGGGGATAGTTTTATTGTGGGGGTGGGGAAGTAGGGGTATAATGGTGGTTATAAGGTTTAAGATAAAGGTGTATGTGGGGGATAGGTTTTTTTATATGGGTGGGGGATGGGAGGGGATTTTGTGGGTGGGTTGGAGGGTGTTGAAGTTAAATGGATGTGGGGGTGTGGAGAGTGTGATTGGGTGGGGGTTTTGGGTTGGTGGGGGTTTAAGTGTGTAGGTGGGTATTTGGGGGTGTGGTGGGGGGGTGGGGTAGGGGATGGGGGAGTGGGGTTTTAGTGTGTTGTGGGTTTGTTTAGTGATGGTGTATTGGGATAGGGGTAATGTTTGTGATGAGGTTTGTAGTGGTTTTTAAGTGGTAGGGTAGGTTTAGGGGGATGTTGGGGGAAGGGATATTGTTGGTGGGTTATGGGGGGTTTTGGGGTAGTTTTGAGTGTTGGGGTGTGGAATTGGGGAGGTGTGGTTATAGTGATGTGGGTGGGGTGTGTGGGGGGGGGAGTGTATTGTGGGGGGGTGTGGGGGGGTTGGGGTTGGGGGGGGGTGGAAGGTTTGGGTTGGGTGGTTTGGTGGGGGGTGGGGGTGGGGGGGGGGGGGTTGGGGTGGGGGGGTGTGGGGGGTGGGGGTTGGTGGTGTGGGGGTGGGGGGGTTGGGGGTTGGGGTTTGGGGGGGTTGTGGGGGTGGGGGGTGTTGTTATTAGGTGGGGGTGGGGTTGTGGGGTTGGTGTGGGGGGGGTGGGGTGGGGGGTGGGTTGGGGGGGTGGTGGGGGGTGGGTTGGTGGGTGGGTGGGGGTGGGTGGGGTGGGGTGTGGGGGGTGGGGGTTGGGGTGGGGGGGGGGGGGTGTGTGGGTGGTGGGGGGGGTGTTGTTTGGGGGTGGGGGGGGGGTTGGGGGGGTTTGGTGTGGGGGGGGGGGTGGGGGGGGTGGTGTTGGGGGGGGTGTGGGGGGGTGGGTGGTGGGGGGGGGGGTGGGGGTGGGGGTGGGGGGGGGGGGGGGGGTGTTGGGGGGGTGTGGGGTTGGGGTGGTGGGGGTGGTGTGGGTTGGTGGGGGTTGTTTGGGGGGGTGGTTTGGTGGTTTTTTTGGGTGGTTGGTTGGGGGGGGGTGGGTGGGGGGGGTGGGGGTGGGGGTGGGGGTGGGTTGGGGGGTTTGGGGGGGGGGGGTGGGGTGGGGGGTTGGGGGGGGTGTGTTGTGGGGGGTTGTGGTGGGGGGTGGTGTTGTGGGGGGGGGGGGGGTGTGGGGTGTGGGGGGGTGGGGGGTGGGTGGGGTGGGGGGGGGGGGTTTGTGGTGGTGGGTGGTGGGGGGGGGGGGGTGGGGGGGGGGTGGGGGGGGGGGGTGGTGGGGGTGGGGTGTGGGTTTGGGGGTGGGGTGTGGGTGGTGGGGGGGGTGTGTTGGGGGGGGGGGGGGGTGTGTGGGGGTTGGGGGTTTGGGGGGTGTGTGGTGGGTGGGTGTGTGTGGGTGGAGGTTGGGGTTGGGGGGGTGTGGAGGGGTGGTGTGGGGGGGGTTGGGTGGTGGGGGTGGGGGGGGGGGGTGGGTGTGGGGTGTGGTGGGGGGGGGGGGGGGGGTTTGGGGGGGGTGTGTGTGGGGTGGGGGGGGTGTGTGGTGTGGGTTGTGGGGGGGTTTGGTTGGGGGGTGTGTTTGGTGTTGTGGGGGGGGGGGGGGGGGGGGGGGGGGGGGGGGGGGGGGGGGGGGGGGGGGGGGGGGGGGGGGGGGGTGGGTTGGGGGGGGGTTGGGGGGTTGTTGGTTGTGGGGGTGGGGGGGTGGTGGGGGTGTGTGGGGGGGGTGGGGGGGTGGGTGGGGGGTGGGTGGTTGTGTTGGGGGGGGGGGGGGGGTGGGGGGGTGGGGGGGGGGGGTGGATTGTGGGGTGGTTGGGGGTGGGGTTTGTTGGGTTGGGATGTGTTGGTTTTTTTTTTGTTGGTTGGTGGGTGTGGGGGGGTTGTTGGGGGTTTTTTGTGGGGGGTTGGTTTTTGTGTTTGTGTTGGGGGTGGTGTTGGGGGGGGGGGGTGGTGGGTGTGTGTTGGGGGGGGTGGTGGGGGGTTTTGGGGTGGGGGGGTGGGTGGGTAGTTGGTGAGTTGGGGGTTGGTGTGTTGTTTGGTGGTGGGTGGGGGGTTTTTGTAGTGATGTATGCGGGTTAGGTGTGAGGGGTTGTTTTAGTGTGAGGTTAGGTTGGATGGGTTGTTGGGGGAGAGGTTTTTGATGAGTTATTTTATTGGTTTTGGAATTTGTTTGTATGGGGGGGGGTTTTTTATATTTTGTAGTGTAATTGTTTGGTGGTGGTTGGGTGTTGTTGGAGTGGGTTTGGTTGGGGGGGGGGGGGGGGGGGGGGTGTGGGATATGTTGGGGGGGTTGGGGGGGTGGTTGGGGGGTTTGTTGGGGGTTGTGGTGTTGGGGGGTTGTAGGTGGGGGGGTGGGGGGTTGTGGGGTTGGGGGGGTTGTGGGTTGGGTATGGGGTGGTTGGGTGTGAGGTTTTGGGTGTTGGGTTTGGGGTATGTGGTTTGGGTGTTTGGTGAATGGGAGGTGGGGGGAGGGGGGGGGGGGTTGGTGGGGGTGGGGGGGGGGGTTGGGTGTGGTTGTTTTAGTATAAGTGGTTGTGGGTGGTGGTAGTTGGGGGTTGTGGGTTTTATGTGGGGGTGGGGGGGGGGGTGTTGTGTTGGGGTGTTGGGTGGATGATATGAGGGTTGTTGAGGGGTTTGGGTTTGGTGATTTAGGGGGGGTGGTTTGAGTGGGTTTAGTGTTTGGTTTGTTTTAGGTTTTTATTTTTTTGTGTGTTTTTTGTGGTTGTTGGGTGTGGGGGGTGGTTAGTGGGGGGTGTGTGGTGGGGGGGGGGTTTTGTGTGTGGGTTTGTGGGGTTGGGGGGATTTGTGTGTTTTTTGGGTGTGGTGTTGGGTTGGTTTTTTGGTTTGGGGGGTGTTGTGTGGGGTTTTGTGTGGGGTTGTTTTGGTGTTGGGGTTTTGGTTGGTGGGGTTGGGGTGGTGGGGTTGTGTGTGATTTTGGAAGGTGTGGTTTTGGTAGGGTTTTGTTATGTTGTTGTTTATGTGGTTTTTAGAGGGGTTTTGTGGGTGTTTTGGGGGTGGGTGGGTGGGTTGGGTGGGGGGGGGGTGGTTTTTTTGTGGGGTGGATGGTGGGGTTGTTTTAGGTAGGGTGTAGATGGTTTATTTTTATGTGGATTTTATAGATATGATTGTGGTGTTTAGGTTGTTGGTGGTTTTAAAGGGAGGTGGGAGTGGTAGAATATTGAAATATTAGAGAGGATATAGTGATGTATATATTTTTTTTTGTAGTTTGGTGTGGGTGGGGGGTGGGTGGTAATGTGAAGGGGGGGTTGTTGTATGTTATATGGTGATGGTTTTTAGGTGTAGTTGGTGTTTGGTGATATTGTAGTTTTATGTAGTTTGTGTTTGTGGAGGGTTGTTGTTGTGGTTGGTTGTTGGGATTTATGTGGTGTTTTTGTTGGAAGAGGTGGTGGGGTGGGGATGGTTATTTAGGGGGATAATTGGGAGAAGAGTGTTAATGGGATGGTGGGTTTGATTGTGTGGGTGATATTGAGATTTGGGGAGGGAGAAGTGTGAGGGGGGTGATTATGGTGGATGTGGATGGGGAAGTGAGATGATGTTAATGTATTAGGAGGGGGTGATGATAGGATGTGTGGAGATATATGGATTTTGTGTTGGGGGGATTGTGTTGGTGGGGTTGGTGTTTGGGGGTTGGTGGGGGGGGGTGTGGGGTTTGGGTGGTTTGGTGGGTTTGGGTGGGGGTTTGGTGGTTGTTGGTGTTGGGGGTGGTTGGTGGTTGTGGGGTTGGTGTGGAGATGTAGGGGGGGGGTGTGGTGGTTGGTTTGGTTTTGGGTTTTGGGTGGGGGGGGGGGGGGGGGGGTTTGTGGTGTGGGGTGGTGGGTTGGGTGGGGGGGTGTTGGGTTTGGTTTGGGTGGTGGGGATGGGGTTGTTGTGGGGGGTGTTTGGTTTTGTGGTTGGGTTGGTGGTGGGTGGGGGGTGGGTGTGGGGTGGGGGGGGTGGGGGGGGTGGGTGGTGGGGTTGGGGGTTGGTGGGTTGTGTGGTTTTGGTTGGGGTTGGGGGGGTGTTGTTGGGGTGGGGTGGTGGGGGGTGTGTGGTGGTGGGGTGGGTGGGTGGGGGGTGGTTTTTGGGGGGTGGGTGGGGGGGGTGGGTGTGTGTTGGGGGGGGTGTGGGTGTGTTGGGGGTGGGGGGTTTTGGTTTTGGGTTGGGTTGGGGGTGTTTGTAGGGGTGTTGGGTGTGGGTGGGTTGGGGGGGGGGGGGGTTGTGGTGGGGGGGGGGGGGTGTTGGGTTGGGGTGGGGTGGTGTTGTGGTTGGGGGTTGGTTTGGTGGTGGGGGGGGGGTGTTTTGGTGGTGGGGGGGGGGGGGGGGTGGTGTGTTGTGGTGTTTTGGTTTGGGGGGGGTTGGGTGTTGTTGTTGGTGGGGGTTGGTGTTGGGGTGTTTGGGTGGTGTTGTTGGGGGGGTGTGTTTTTTTTTTGGGGGTTGTGTGGTGGTTGGGGGTGGGGGGGGTGTGGGGGGGGGTTTGTTTTTGGGGGGGGGGGGGGGTGGGGTTGGTGGTTTGGTGGGGGGGGGGGGGGTGGGGTGGGTTGGGTGTTGTGGGGTTATATTGTGGGGGATTTTGGGTGTTGGGTTGTTTTTTGTGTTGTTGTTATGTTTGTGTGTTTTGTTGGTGGGGTTTGTGTGTGTGTGGTGGGTAGGTTTTGGGGTTTTTGTTGGGGAGTGTTGATTTGTATTTTGTGAGGTTTATGGGAAGGAATAGGTTTGGATATGGGGGTGGGGTTTAAGGGGGGATTTGAGTTGTGTTTTTGAGATAGGGGAGTGTTGGGTGGGGTTGGGAATTTTGAGTTTGTGGATAAATGTTTGGGTTTTGGGGGTTTTGGTTAATGAGGTGGTTTGTTTGTTGGTGTGATGAGGAGGGTTGTTTTTTAAGGTGGTGTATGGGGTAGTTGAGGGGTTGGATGGGTTGGAGAAAGAGGTTAGTTAATGTTGAAGTTGAGTTGGTAATTGTTTGTGTTGGGGGTTTGGGTATTAAGGGAAGTGTTAATATGGGGTTTTTTTGGTTGGGTGGATGGGATGTATTTGTTGTGGAGTGTGGGTGGGTGTTATTGGATGTTTGTGGGAAATTGTTTTTATGGAATTGTTAAAGGGGTTTGGTTTTGGTGTATTGGTGTGTTGTGATTGTGGGGGGGGGGGGGTGTGGAGTGGTTGTTGGGGGGGTGGTAGGGTTGTGGGTGGGTTTGTGTTGTTGGTGGGTGTTTTTGGTAAATTGGGTTGTAAGGTGGTAATTTTTTTGTGTTGATTTTTTGGGGTTTGGGTTTGTTGGGGGTTTGTGGGGTGGGGGGGGGGTGTTTTGGGGTGTATGTGTGGATGAGTGGGTTGGGGGGGTTGGGGGGGGGTGGGGGGGTGGTGGTTGGGGGGGGGGGTGGGTGTGGGTGGGGGGGGGGTGTGTGGGGGTGGTGTGTGGTGGGGGTGGGGGTGGGGGGGGTGGTGGTTGTTTGGGGGGTGGAGGGGTGTGTGGGGTGTGGGGGGAGGGTTGTGTGTGTTGGGGGGTGGGATTTTTTGGGGGGGGTGGGGGGGGGGGGGGTGTGGGGGTGTATGTGGGTTGGGGTGGTTGTGGTGGTGGTTGGGGGGTGGTTTGGTGTTGTTGTTTGTGTGGTGTGGGTGGGGGGGGGGGGGGTGGGGGGGTGGGTTGGTGGGGGGGTGTGGGGGGGGGGTGGGGGAGGGGTTGGTGTGGGGGGGGGGTGTGTGGGGGTGGGGGTGGGGGGGGGGGTGTGGGGTTGTTGGTGTGGGGGGGTGGTGGTGGGGGGGGGGGTTGTGGGGTGGGTGGTGGGGGGTGGGGTGGGGTTGGGTTTGGGGGGGGGGGGGGGGGGGGGGGGGGGGGGTGGGGTGTGGGGTGTGGGTTGGGGGGGTTTGTGGGGGGGGGGGGGGGGGGGGGGGGGGGTTGGGGTGGGGTTGGGGGGGGGTGTGTTGTGGGGGGGGGGGGGTTGTGGGTGTTGGGGGGGTTGTAGGGGTTGTTGTTGGGTTGGGGGTTGGGGTGGGGGTGTGGGGGGGGGGGTGAGGGGTGGTGGGGGGGTGGGGGGGTTGGGTTTGGGGTTGGGGGGTGTGGGTGATTGGGTGGGGTTGGGTTGTTTGGGTTGTGTTATGGGTTTGGGTGGTTGTTGGGGGGTTTGGTGGTGTTGGGGTTGTGGGATGGGGGTTTGGGTGGGGTTGATGTGTTGTGGTGGGTGGGTTGTGTGTGGGTTATGGGGTGTGGGGGTTGGGTGGGTGTGGGGGGTGGGGTTTTGGTTGGGGTTGTAGGGGGTTGGGGGGTTTTTGGGGTTTTGGGGTGTTGTTTGGGGGGGTGGGTGGTGGGGGGTTGGGTTTGGGTTGGGGGGGGGGGATTTGGGTGGGTGGGTTTGTGTGGGTGGGGGGGGGGGGGGGGGGGGGGGGGGTGGTGGTGTATTGGGGGGGGGGGGGGGTGTGGGGTGGGGGGGGGGTTGGTTGTGATGGGTTTGGGTTGGGGGTGTGTGTGTGGGGGGGTGGGTGGGTGGTTGGGGGGGTGTTGGGTGGGGGGTTGGGGGGTTGGGGGGGGGGGTGGGGGGTTGGGGGTGGGGGTTGGTGGGGGTTGTGGGGGTGGGGTGGGGTGTTGTTTGTGGGGGTGGGGGGGGGTGTGGGGGGGTTGGTGGTGGGGGGGGTGTTGGGTGGGGTGTTGGGGTGGTGGGGGGTGGGTGTTGGGTGGGTGGGGTGGGGGTGGGTGGGGGTGTTGGGGTGGGGTGGTGGGGTTGGGTTTGGGTTGGGGGTGGGGGGGGGGTTTTGTGGTGGTGGGTGGGGGGTGTTGTTAGGTGTGGGTGGGGGAGGGGGTGGGTGTGGGGGGGGTTGGGGTGTGGGGGGGGTGTGTGGGGTTGGTGTTGGGTTGTTGTTGGGGGGGTTGTGGGTTGGGGGGTTGGGGGGTTGGGGTGGTTGGGGGGTGGGGGGGTGGGGGGGGTTTGGGGGGGGGTGGGGGGTGGTGGGTGGGTGGGGGGGTTGGTGTGTGTTGTTTTGTGGTGTTTGGGGGGGGGGTGGGGGTTTGGGTGGGGGTTTTTTTGGGTGGTGGGGGTTTGGGGGGGGGGGGTGGGGGGGGTGGTGGTTGGGGGTGGGGGGTTGGTGGGGGTTGTTGGGGGGGGGGGTGGGGGGGGTGGGGGGGGGTGTTTTGGTGGGGGTGGGTGGGGGGGTGGTGTTGTTGGGGGGGGGGGGGGTGTGGGGGGTGTGGGGGGGGTGTGTGGGTGGGGGTGGGGGTGGGGTGTTTGTTGGTGGTGGTGGTGGGGGGGGGGGGGGGGGTGGGGGGGGGGGGGGGGGTGGGGTGGGGGGGTGGTGTTGGGTGTGGGGGTGGGGGGGGGGTGGGGTTTTTTGTGGGGGGGGTGTGGGGGGGGGGGGTGGGGGTGGGGTTGGGTGGGTGGTGGTGGGGTGTGGGGGGTGGGGTGGGTGTGGTGGTGGGGGGGGGGGTGGGGGGTTGGTGGTGTGGGGGGGGGGGGGGGTGGGGGGTGGGTTGGGGGGGGGGGGGGTGTGGTGGGGGGTGTGTGGGGTGGGGGGGGGTGTGTGGTGGGGTGGGGTGAGGGTTTGGGGTGTGGGGGGGGTTTGGTTGGGTGTGTTGTTGGGTGGTTGGGGGGGGTGGGGGTGGTTGGTTTTTTGGGGGGGGTGGGGTGGTGTTAGGGTTTTGGTGTTGGGGTGGGGTTTGTGGTTTTGTTGGTTGGGGGTGATGGTGGTGTTTTGTTGGGGGGGTGGTAGGGGGTGTGTGGGGGGGGGGTGGTGGTGGTTGGGGGTTGTTTGGGGGGGGGTGGGTGGTGTTGGTGGGTGTTTTGGTGGTGGTGTTTGTGGTTGGAGGGTATGGTGTGTTGGTTGGGTGGTGTAATAAGATAAGTGGGGGGGGTTATGGGGAGTATAGGTTATATGAAGTGTGGGGTTTTTTTTGTAATGTTGGTTTTGTGTGAGGATGATATTTGAAGGGGGGGGGGTGGGGGAGGGGGGGGTGGTTGGTGTGGGTGTGGGGGTGTATGGTGAAGTATTGGGTTGGGGGTTTGGATTTTATGAGTAGTTAGGGGTTTGTTTATTTGTATGTGATTGTAGGGTTAGGTGTGTGGGTTGTTTTAGTGTGGAATGTTAGTTTGATGGGGGGTGTTGGAGAGGGTTGTGATTTAGGGTTGGGTTGGGGGTGGTTTTGTTTTTGTATTGGGGGGGTTGTTATTATTTTAGTAGTGTAGATTGTTTGTGGTTGGGGTATGTTGTTTTTTGAGGTGGGTTGGTGGGGGGGGGGGGGGGGGGGGGGGGTTTTTGGGTTTGGGGGGGGGGGGGTGGGGGGGGGGGGGGGGTTTGTGGGGTTTGTTGGGGTGGGGGGTTGTGGGGGGGGGGGTTTGTTGATGGGTTTGGGTAGGGGGGGGGGGTTTGTGGGTTGGGTGTTGTTGTTGGGTATTTGGGGTGTGGGGGTTGTGGTGGGGGTTTGGTTAGGTTAAGGGGTTTGGTGGTTTGTGTGGGGGGGGTGTTTGGGGTTTGGGGTGGGTGGAGGTGGGGTGGGGGGTATTGGGGGGGTGGGTGTGTTGTTGTTGGTTTTTTGGGGGGGTGGGGGGGGGTTGGGTGGGGTGTGGTGTTTGTTATGTTGGTTTGGGGGGGGGAGTATATTTAGGGGGATGTTGGTGTATTGAGAGGAGTTGGGTTTTGGTTTTGTTATTAGTGGGGGGTGGATTTAGAGGGGAATGGTGGTTGGGTTTGATATATGTTATATGTAGAATATATATAGATAATATGTTGGGGAGTGAGGGTGTGGGGGGGGGGGGATGGGGTTGAGGGGTTGGGGTGGGGGTTTTTGTATGTGTATTGTATGTAGTGGTGAGGGGTAATTGTGATGATTTGGTGTGGTTTTGTGGTTAGTTTGAGTAGGTTTTGATAATTTTAGGGTGGGGGTTAGTTTGGTTTTTTAGTTTGTGTTTTTGTGTTTGGGAGTGGTGTGGTGGTGGGTTGGGATGTGTTTAGGTGGTGGGTTGTGGGGGTTGGGTTTGTTTTTTAGGTTGATTGGGTTGTAGTTGGGGTGTGGGGGGGGGGTGGGGGGGTGGTGGTGTGGGTGGGGGGGTGTGGGGGGGGGGTGGGGGGATGGGGGATGGGGGTGTGGGTGTGTTTTTTTGATTGGGTTTGTTGTTGTGGGTTAGTGTTGTTGTTATTTGTATTGGTGGGTGTGTTTTTGTTTTTGTTGTGAGTATTGGTGGTTATTGTTTGGTGGTTAGGAAGGTGGGTGGGGGGGGGGGGGTAGGTGTGGGGGTGTGTTTTTGGTGTTGTTTTTGTGGGTTGTTGGGGGTGGGTGTTATTGTTATTTAGGTGTGAGTTTGAGGTTGTGTTTTTGATTGTTTTTTTGGATTATAGGGATGAGTGGGTAAGAAAGGAGGGTGGGTGGAGGTAAGTTGGGGATATTAGGAGAGAGTAAGAAGAAGTGTAGTGAGGTGAAGAGTAGAAGAGGATTAGGGGAGGGGAGGAAGGAGGTGAGGGGGGGTGATTTTTGGTGTGAAGGGGAGTATGAGGAGGATTGTAATGTAGGAGGGGGTTGGGATGATGTAGTGGTAGAGGGGTAATTGGGAGTGGGGATATGATGGAGGTGTTGGTTAGGAGTTTGGGTGTGGTTGGGGGGGGGGTGGGGGGTAGGGGGGGTGGTGTTGTTGGTGTGGTGGTGTTTGGTGGTGTGGTGTTGGTGGTGGGGGGGGTTTGGGTGGTGTGGTGTGTAGGGGGGGGGTTGTGGGGGTGTTGGATTGGGGGGAAAGGATAATGGGTGGGGGGGGGTGGTTTTTAAGGAGAGAGGGTAGGTTTTGAATTGGGATTTGGTTGTTTTTTGGTGTATTGGGATGTGGGGGAGGGTGTAATGTGTGAGAAGGAGGGTGGGAATTTAAAAGTGGAGGGTAGTATGGTGGTTATGGGGGGGGTTGTGGTTATGGGAGGGTGTGTTTAGTTTGGTGAATTGTTGGGGGTTGGGGAAGTGTTATGGAGGAATTTTAGGGGGGGAAAAGGAATGTGGGGAATGGGTTGGGTGGAAATAGTGGGAGGGGGGTGTGGGGGGTGTTTGGTGGGGGTGTGGTGGGTTGGTGGGATGGTTTATGGGTGGGGTGGTTGGGGGGGGTGGGGGGGGTGGGGGTTGTGTGGTTTGGGTTGGGTGAGGTTGGGGTTGTGGTTTGGTTGGGGGTTGTGGTTGGGGTGAGTGGAAGGGGGTGTTTGGTTGAGGGAGGGTATTGGGGTGTTTTTGGGATTTGGGGGTGGTGGTTTAATGAATTTGATTTTTGAGGGTATGAGAATGTTGTGTTTGGGGGGGGGGAAGGGAATGTGGATGTGTGGTGGGGGATGGAATTATGGAGTTGGGGGGTGTGGGTGGGGAGTGAGAGAGTTTAGTATTATGTGGTGGTGTTTTGGGGGTGTTGTTGTTGGTTTTTTAGGAGGTGGGGGGAGAAATTGTTTGTAAGGGGGGGGGGGGGGGGGGGGGGGGGGGGGGGGGGGGGGGGGGGGGGGGGGGGGGGGGGGGGGGGGGGGGGGGTTTTGTGGGATTGTTTAAAAAGGTGATGGTTGTAGGTTTGATGTGGGAGGGTGGAGGTGGGGGGAATGTTTTGGGGGTGGGGTTTGGGTGGGGTTGGTGGGTGTTGGGGGGGGGGGTGTTTATGTTGGGTGGTTTGGGGGGTGTGGTGGGGTTTAGGTGGGTTGTTGGGGGTTGTATTTTGTGGTTTGTTGTGTATGTTGGGGTTTGTTATGGTGGTGGGGAGGGGGGGTAAGGTTGGGGGGTTTTGTTGAGTTGTATTTGAATTTGTTAGGTATGGTGGTTAGTGGGTTGTGAGGGTTTGTTGGGGTGGGTTGTGGTTTGTTGTGGGGTGTGGGGGTTTGGGGGGTTGTGGTGTTTGGGTTATTGGGGGGGTTGGGTTGGGTTTTGGGTGTGTGGTGTGGGTTGTGGTGGTGTTGTGGTTGGGGGGTGGGTGGTGGGGGTGGGGGTTTGTGTGGGTGGGTTGGGGGTGGGGATGGGGGGGGGTGGGGGGTGGTTGGTTGGGGGTTGTGGGGTGGGGGGTTGGGGGGGGGGGGTGGGGGTGGGTGGGGTGGTGGGGGGTGGGTTGGTGTTTGGTGGGGGGGGGTTTGGGTTGTGTTGGGTTGGGGTTGGGTGTGGGTTTGGTGGTTTGTGGTTAGTGTTTGGTGGTGTGTGTGTTGTTGGGGTGTTGGGGGGGGGGGGGGTGGTTGTGGGGGGGGGTGGGTGGGGGTTTTGGGGTTGGTTGGTTGTTTTGGTTGTTGTTGGTGGGGGTGTGGTTGTGGGGGGGTGGGTTGGGTGGGTTATTGGGTGTTGGGGGGGGGTAGATATTTGTTTGATTTGGTTGATGGTGTAGTGGAGTGGGGTTTGGGGTGGGAATAGGGGGGGGATTTGTGGGTGAGGAGGGGGGAAGGGGGGGGTGTTGAGGGATATGGATGGGTGGGGGGTGTGGATAGGTGAGTTTATTGATGGGTGGTGGGTGGGAGGTGGTGTGTTTGTTGTTTGGGTTAGTTGTGGGGTGGGGGGTGGTGGGTGTTGGGGTTTGGGGGGGGGGTTTTTTTGGGTGTGGGGGGGGGGGGTGGGGTGTGGGGTGGGGATTGGTGTTGTTAGGGGGGTATTTGTTGGGTTTGGGGGGTGGTGATATTTTTTTTTGTAGTTGATGATTTTGGTGTGTTGGGGGGGGGGGGGTAGGGGGGGGGTTGGGAGGTTATTTGGGGGGGGGTAGTTGGGGGGTGGTGGGGTGGGGGTGTTTTGTGTGGGGGGGGTGAGTGGGTGGTTGGTTGGGGGGGGGGGGTGTGGGGGGGTGTTTGTGGGGGGGGGGGGGGGGGTGTGGGGGGGGGGAAGAGGGGGTAGTATTGGGGGGTGGGTGGATTGTTTTTAGTTTGGGGGGGGGTGGGTGTGGGGGGGTGGGGGGAGGTTTTGTGGGTGAGTGGTTGGGTGTGGGGGTGTTTTTGTGGGGGGGGGGGGGGGGGGGGGGGATGGGGTGGGATGGGGTGTTGGTTGGGGGGGGGGGGGGTTTGTGGTGTTTTGGGGGTTGTTGGGGTTGTTGGGGTGTGGGTTGGTTGGGGTTTGGTGGGGGGGTTGTTGGTGGTGGGGGTGGGGTGAATGGGTTTGGTGGGTGGAGGTTGTGGTGTGGGGTTGGGTTGGGTGTGGTGTGTTTTGGGTGGATGTGTGGTGTTGGGGGGGTGTGGGGGGGTGGTGGGTAGGTTGGGGTGGTTATTGTGGGGGGGGGTGTTTTGTTGGTGTATTGGGGGTTTGGGGGGTTTGTTGGGTGGTGGTGTGTTGGGGTTGTGGTTTGTGGGTTGGGTTGTGGTTGGTGGGTATTTTGGGGTATGTTTATATTTTTTGGGTGGTTTTTGGTGGGATTATGGGGTATTTTTTAGATTTAATGGTTTGGTTTGGATTGTGGGGAGGTGGTGGGTTAGAAGAGGTGGGGTGGGGTGTGTGTGGGGGGGGGTGGGTTGGTGTGGGGGGGGGGGTGTGGGGGGTGGGGGGGGGGTTGGTTGGGTTTGGTTTGGGTGGGGTGGGTGGGGGGTGGGGGTGTGATGGGTTGTGGGGGGGAGTGGGGGGATGGGGGATAGGTGGGATATGGGGGGGGTGTGGGGTTTGGTGTGATTGTTGTTTGTGGTGAATTGGTTTGTGTTGGGTTTTTTTTGAGTGTGGGGGTGGGGGGGGGTGTGTGGGGGGGTTGTGGGAGGGGGGGTGGGGTGGGGGGTGAGTTGGGGGGGAGTGGGGGTGGTGGTGTGTGGGTGGGGTGTGTGGGGGTGGAGGGGTGGGGGTGTGGGGGGGGGGGTTGGTGTTGGGGGTGGGGGGGTTTGTGGGTGTTTGGGTTTAGTTGTGGGTTGTGTATTGTGGTGATGTGGGTGGGTGTTGTGTGGGTTGGGGGTGTAGGGGGTGGGTTTTGTGTGTGTTTGGGGTGTTGGTAGATATGTGGGGGGGTTATTATGGTGTGGGGGTGGGTGGGGTGGGGGTTGATGGTTGTGTGGAGGGGGGGGGGGGGGGTGGGGGGGTGGTTTTGGGGGGGTGGGGGGTTGGGGGTGGTGGGGTGGGTGGGTGTTGGTTGTGGTGGGGTGTTTTGGGTTGGGGTGGGGTTTGGGGTGGGGGTTTTGTGGTGGTGGGTGGTGTGGGGGGGGGGGGTGGGTGGGGGGGGGGTGGGGGTGGGGGTGGGGGGGTGGGGTGGGGGTTGTTGGGGGGGGGGGGTGGGGTGGGGGGGGGAGGGGGGGGGGGTGTTTTGGTGGGGGGGTTGTGGTGGGGGGTGGTGTGGTGGGGGGGGGGGGGGGGGGGGTGGGGGGGTTGGGGGGGGGTGGGGGTTGGTGGGGGGGGGGGGGGGGGTTTTGTGGTGTGTGGGGGGGGGGGGGGGGGGGTGGGTGGGGGGGGGGGGGTGGGGGTGGGTGTGTTGGGTGGGGGGGTGTGGGTGGTTGTTGTTGGGGGGGGGGGGGTGGGGTGGGGGTGTGGGGTGGTGGGTGGGGGTTTTTGGGGGTGGGGTGTGGGTGTTGGGTGTGGGTTGGGGGTTGGGTGTGGTGTGTGGGTGGGGTTTGGGTGGGTGTGGTGTTGTAGGTTGGTTGTGGGTTTGTGGGGGGAGTGGTGTGTTTGGTTGGGTGTTTGGGGGTTGTTTGGTTTTGTTGGGGGTGGAGTTTGGGGTGTGGGGGGGGTGTGTGGTGTGGGTTGTGGGGGGGTTGGTGATTGGGGGGGTTTGGGGTTTGTAATTGGTTGTTGGGGTTAGGGGGGTGTTGGGGGTGTGGTGTTTGTTGTGTTGGGGGGGGGGTGGTGTGTGGGGGGTTGTGGTGGGGGGGGTTGTTTGTTAGGTTGGGGGGTGGGGTGGGGGGATGGTTGTGTGGGGGGGGGTGGGGGGGGGGGGGGGGGGTGTGTGGTGGGGGGGTGGTTCTTTAAAAGTTTAAATATGAACGAATTAAGACACGGATGTCACTTTTAATGAAATATGAGGCAAGATGTTGATGGTTCCATGTTGTTATATGTGTGTTTTAAGAGTCAAATGTTCGTGTAAAGTTTGGTTTAAGGGTTCCTGTTTACAACACCGTGCAGCAGGGTTGCCAGGTTGGATGCTTTCCCACATACTTTTCTTCGAGAGACTTGTAGGTAATAAATAAACAGAAAGACAATAAACAGAATTATGATAGGCTAAGTTGATTACATTACGTTTTTTTGGGCTGGAAAATCTTGCCGCGATTTGGCAACCCATGGGAGTTGTGTGCTTCGATGTGAGTGGTTGAATGAAGACGTCATTCAAGATAACGGACAAGTGGTTTATCAGATCACATGCAAGAATTTGGATTTCTGAAATCCAACCGCTATGGAGGAGGCCCAGACGCATGTGTGAAGTGCAGCGAACTACATGGGTCTGGTGAGAGTTAGGCTATCAATTTGCATAAAACAATAAAAAACAGTCAATCAATGACTCACTGATGTCTGTGAGTGACATCAATTTCACTCACAGACTTAATCAGCAACAGCAACTCACAAAGTGTGATCAGATTTCACTGCTATACATAAATAGGTTAATGAACCCGTCCATTTCCTGTTCTCCCAAGGCTTCAAATTAGTGACTTCGTTACGTACTCCGCCAAAGACTTACGGGATTTCTTGAATAACGCCCTGAAGCGCTGACGTGGCACGAGCCATCACTACTTTTGGGTACTTCCTATGGATCTATTGTTCATACATTTGAAAAATAAATAAATACAAAAACTGGCAATTGAGAAAAAAAATATAAAAAAGGAATATTCTCCTTAATATTCCATCACAGATATCTTTATCCATTTAACTTTCCGTCTTGGGGAGCACTTTTACCTCTTAAACCAGTTGGACTTTTTCTCTTTTATTACCAGCTGAGTAATGTGTGGTTGCTGAATATCTTGGGGCCATATTAAACATGTGAAAACCCCACATTTGGTTCATATCTTTTGTTTCGCTGCTTAATATTTCTCCCCAAAAATACAAAAACCTGATTCATATCTATGCCACACAGATACTCTCCCCTGCTATAAAAATGCATCTCTGAATTTCCTCTCTAAAAAAGCTATTGGCCACCCACAATGCCAGACCGCACACATTTCCACCTCAGTGGCGCACACCAAACAACTTCTCTCTCCGCTGCGGGCCCCATTTCCCGTGTGCCTAGATTTCCATCCCCTTTTTGCTTTCAAGTGAGAGTACTTCCCCATGTCTAACAGCACGTCTGCCTCCCTCTGGGGTATGCACATCTCTCCAGCCCTGTGCGTATCCCATGATTCCTTTCACAGCTCCTTCCTAAAGGTCAGATGCCCACAGGCTCCATCAAGTGGGAACGAGAAAAAGTCACACCTCTCAACCGTAAACAGCCCAATCTCGGCTGAAGGAAACGTTACGTAATGACCGGTTCAAATGCACAACTGGACTACAATGAAAAGTGGTCCAGTAATTATTTTTATGAAATTATCTTCTAATTTATATTTACCTTTTCAGTTTCTTTCTTTCCATGGCAGTTAAAGTCCTATTTTCTAATGCGCTGGTCCTGGACCGGTTATGGACTAGTTTTGGTTCAGCTTGGTTTTTAAGAAGAATGTGTGCTGATTACCATAGCAACACAATGTTTACTGTTGGCCGTTAGCATCTAGCCTTTCAACAAACTATTTTTGCTGTATGTGAAGTTATATTCACCAGTTTTAGCACTCAGTAAAAGTGAGTAAATGTGAAAAGTCTTTTGAATCACTTAATAAATATGGTGAAAAACTAAACATTTTGGTTTGAATGGGAGCAGTCAACATGACGACTCTGGGAGTTCTGGTAGTTTCTGAATTGTGGGAGTTCTACTGTTAAAGCAAGATACAGCATAAGCATAATTTTAATAGCAGACCTGCTGAAATATATCTTGTCTTTTAATATTATCACTAAATACATTTGCAGTAGGGGCGACAGTAGCTCAGTTGGTAGAGCATTGGCCTTTGAGCCTGAAGGTCGTGGGTTCAAGCCCACCGTAAGACCTACTTCACGACTCCCACTGATGACTGCTGTCGTTGTGTCCTTAGGCAAGACACTTAACCCCACTTTGCCTGAAGCCCCCACTGAAAGATCTCAACTCCTGTGGACTCACCACCTGCAGGAGGATCAGTTAGGGGCTGGTGCTTTGTGACTGGGTGCAGCTCTGACTGCCACCCCCCCGACCCAGAAATGGATTAAGGGGAAGAAAATGGAAGGATGGACGTTTGCAGTACCCTCTAACAACATGCTCTGTACACAGAACTGCTGAACAAAAATGTATAAAGAATTGTATCCAGAAATCAACAAATGTATCAGTTTGGTAAATGCAATTCTTCTATTAAAGTCTATTGAGTTTGGGTCCTGCGAAAGGGCATTCTTGTAGTTTTGGAAACTTGTTTCCAACTCTCCGTTACATGCTAGCATTTGATACTACTGTACATGTTAGCACCATGAGGCTCTAGGCTAAAAGTGAAGCAAAGTGACAGTGGACACATGTGGTTCCATAGTGCACATTCTAACATCGTTGCAAGTTGTAATTGCACAGATGCATGTGTGAGGTCCGGTCGGCAGTGTTCATCGGTCTTCTGTGGCCCTATCCCAACACCCACACTGCACCCTACACTCCTCTACAAAGTATGCAATTGTTTGAAGTGCACGCAAATTGAATGTTATATGAATGCTTGCATTAAAAAAGTTATGAAATTGTTTGCCTAGAATGTCCGGAAATCTTCATCAGTCATTTATGCTTCTTTCCAAGTAACATCAAAAAATGTATTTACACACGTACAGCATATGTATTTAAAAACTTACCCTTAAATGCATTTTCCCGTACCGCAAAGAATTATGGGCAATATCCTTCGCCAGGGTCCGCTTAGATGCAGGCTACGGCGAAGTGTAGATCAGGGGCGCAAAGGGGGTGGGGCCAAAGACCTCTGGAGAATCGGGACACCCTAAGCAATAGCACCCATCATCAGGAACGCGCAAATGAGGGGCGCAAGGGTGGAAGTGCAAATATTGGGACAGGGCTATTGTTTGTTGCACAGTCTGACAGCAACAGGAAGGAAAGACCTGCGGTATCCAGCTAGGATTTCACAGCTTTCACTAATATTTGCCAGACCATTATAAAAAAAGTTGTACGTCATTTCAAAGCTCCGAATCGGTAGCATTCACCAATCCACACATTTATTATTGATGACTGTAAAAAGTCTGCAGCAGTCCCCATCCTTCCATTTACCTGATATAAAAATGTAATGTATCTTAAGAATGAATATTTAATTTCCAATGTAGAAGAACCATTTTGCAATTATATCTTGGACTCCTGTACTGCTCCTCTATTCTCATCACACTGTGAAAGCGCAGTTTGTTGTTTTTTGCATCCCCAGCCTACTGCAACAAAAAGAGAACTGGAAAATAAGCAAATATCCACTGATGCATGACCTGATTTAAGGTAAACCCCTCCTTTTGGACATAGATGTGTCTGTTGAGAAGCAGAATGATCCAGCTTGAAGTAAATGCAGCATCTCAAAGCCGTTTAAAACTTTCTTTATTTCCAAATGAGATTTTGCTCTTGTGCTTACTCTGTGATCTCTTCTTTCACGTTCCCCTGTTGTTATCAGTGTTGTCTTATCCCCCAGCTTTGTCCCTGTACACTCTTTATCATGCCATCCGTTAGGTGTTTTTAATACATCTGACCATCTCCATTTCTCTATTTACCGACTTTGGATCTTTCTCTCTCGCCCTGCAGCAAATTTCCCCACAGTCCCCTTTCTAACATCTAGTTTTCTCTCTGTATCACTGTTGATCTACCTTTCATGCTGGGCTGCTACACGCTCTGATGCCCTCCCCCTGTGTTTTTAGACTATGTGTGTTATTTGTATCCCCAGCCTACCTGCCACGGAGAGGAAAGAAGAGAGGAGAATGGCATTTCAGCGCAAAAAGCCCCACCCAAAGTACTCAGCGATGCAGGGCGGTCACAGAGGCCACAGCTGATTGCACTCGACTGAGCGAATAGCATCTCCCCAGGCCCATTCCCTGCAGAAGTGGCGAATGCTGTCTATTCTCACCCAAACCCATGCTTTATGCCAGCATGTATCTTTTACCACTGCATCTCTCGCTATTTAAACTTACAAACTGTTAAGTGAAGAAAGGTCACCTCAATACATGTCTTTAAATATAGGGTATACCTTTAAAGGTGCAGTAAAGGATTCATGTTAGCTTAGCAGTAGCATCCGAGTAGCACCAAGTCAAAACCACTCAAGCAGACAGGACGCACATTTTTTCTAAAACACGGGACGTTTCCGTACTTTAAGGGAAGGTTGGCACCCCTATCTGTGAGCGATTTGCCTAACACACGTAATTTGAAATACGTATGGCAGACTCACCAGGGACAAGCTGAGTGGAAATGCCAATAACCTTACAGTAGTACTAGAATTTAATATGCTGCTATCCAGAATATATAACTACAATATGTGTTTATAATATTTTGGGTGTTCATTTTGACATGTTCAGATGAATTATGTTAAAAAAACGGCTTTGAAGTTGCACTTTTTCACTTCCGCATAGAAACGCTAGGGGGCGCCAAATTGCAGCGATGACGTAGGAGAATGATCCTTCACAGCAGTCATGGCTGGAATCTGTATGAGCAGCGAGTTAAGAGATGATGTTTGGGGAAGAATCGGAGGTTTCACTGTCATCTGAACAAGGTATAAACATATTTTCATCAGTTTTGTACATAATAGTGTGCAACTCTTAGCCTTTTATGTGAGATTCAAGCTACTTACTTGGCCTAACGGTCCCCAGTGTTGGGCAAGTTAGCTAGCTGTTACTTGAAATCAAGATATCCTAAAACATGCTTACAAGGCTAATATTCGTTTTTACATTATGCCAGTCTCACTTTGGTCGCCTTTGATTTA